TCCGCTGGACTATAGTTTGGTTTTTAAAAAAAACTGTTGTTTGTCAACTTTGCACCAAGTTTTCATTCATGAAATCCAGAAAACGTGCCATAACTTGCCCCTTTGGCCCTGTCAGGTTTTCAGCAAGGACATGTTTACACTCCCTGGGTAGTATTTGTTGCCATTTCATTAGAATATGAATAGATTTGGGGGCGTGGCCTAATTATTAGCATACAATCACAGTATCAGGCCAAAGGGCTGACCTTGCTTTGCGCAGTGAGTCCACAAAAGCCCAGGTCAGCGTGCACACTTAATTATGGTGTTGCCAGCTGAGCTTGAGCCTGAAGAATTTCCTGTGTCAGAGATCAGTATGGGCTGGGGTCGCTAACCTGGCTATTTCCCCAGATATTATAAATTGCTACCTTGGTTAATAAGCCAGCTTGGAACCTATTTTCCAATTCCCATTTGGTGTGGAAAAAAAACAGACCTGTCATTTAAGATAATGAAAATTTAAACTGTTGATGATGCTAACATACTTTTGAATTTTGTTGTTGCACAAAACTAAGAAGTAAATAGACAATATTTTTTTTTTTTTACAAGTGATGCTTGTGTTGCATCTGTGTGTTAGTAAAATGGAGCATTTCTGGCATCTGTGGAGAATTCATGGACTGTACTTGTCAATGGATATACTTTTCCACTACTACACTTTGCAAAGTTTTCTCATGAGTCATAACAACCCTTGAATTAAAACGTTCATTCACTTTGCTCTGGTTTTATAGCTTTTTTAAATTAGTTTTTGTTCATTAGGATGATTACATGTTGCTAGGTCAAAATCAAACACAACCATCAATCAAATATTAATTTTTACACAAGTTGCACACTTGACGCAGAACCACTATTATCAAATATATACACTTAACTCAGAACCACTATTATCAAATATATGTATTTTAACTCAGAGCCACTATTATGAAATATTTACACTTTACTCGGAACCACTATTATCCAATATATACATACTTTACGCAGATCCACAATTATACACTTAAACACAGAACCACTATTATCAAATAGTTTATTTTGAATAAAGTGCAGAGCATCTGGTACAATTTCAATCTCATTGATTGGTCCTACTCTGTTTGAACATTGGTCTCATTACATGCAATATATAGATTGATAAATACTTAATTAAATCCAAGTATTCACAAGTTGAAATATAATCAAAATTACCAATATATAATTAAGATATACCAACATTACCCATCGAGCACAAAATATGAAATTAGGACTGTTCTGGATTGGCAAATGTTGATGAAAGTAAATTAAAGATCTTCTTTGGGGAAAAATAGTTTATTTGCCAGCCTTCTCATGTAGGATTTCAATACATTTACCCTATAAATCCTCGCAGATCCTCCAAAATAAGTTTGAAATGGGCTGAATTTAGAAACTTAAAACCAATACCATTAGTTAACATGAGGTTTGAAACCGTTGAAAATATGAAAGTGTATGATCCATTTGGGTTCCTGCACAGTGGTGGATTTTAGATGATTTAGGAATATCCCAAGCAAATAAATGCCATGGGATTTATGCAATTATGACATGTAAACCAATAATTTGATTATTCATAGAGCAAGGAACAGGAGTTACTGTACATACATACTTTATGTATACATTGAGCCTGAAAAAAGTTGAGGTAATGATTTTAAAATATTGGGGGAAAACGATTGTAGAAACTTGATCAATAATGTCAGATTTCTTTCTGCAACAAATTTTGAGAATTTTTTTCTAATGAGTATAAGCCTTTCTTTGCATTGTTATTGATACAAACCTTTCTTGTTTAATTACCTTTGTCTACATCTTGACATGTTTAATACACTATAATAAAAAAAATACAGTTTTGTTCATTTTCCAAGACTATTGTTACCACGTTTGGTCCAATTGCTCTGGAGTGATTGATATTTATAAAACCGTATATCTTTAATAAAAAAAATTCAGTTGTAATACAAAACATCACTGTCAACTTAATGTATTGTTCTTAGTTAAATATCAATGTCATTTCAAAAAGTGTCTTATGGAAAATATTAGCTTTTAAATTTACAAAAGAAATTCTGGATTTTTAATTTTTGATCCAATGGGTTTTATATTTAAAACGTAATTTGACAAAAATGTTTGTGAATTACTCAAGCTCTTACAATTTTATTGAACACTTGTGCGGTTTCTTGAAAAGAAGTTGGACATTACAAGTTGGGCACTCTGTTTTGGACAAGCATGTTCAGTGTACACCAAATGTACACATGTGTCATCCCATTTTCATTCCTATTCATGGCCCATCTCTACTGCGTTACTAGGACTACAGCTGGCTATTTGTCAGAGCCCAGCTGATTGGTGAAACCACAAGTAGTGTTTCCCAACCTCTGACCTTTGGTGGGCTATAAATAGCATTGGTTCTGCTGGTTGATGGGGTGATATGCTAATGAGTTGGCTCATCCAATCATGCACTAGTGGGCTGTGCCTGTAGTGTTGACCTGCTTTTTATTATTCATGTTCCTCCTGCTTGTTGTTTACTGCATGTACATGTACATGTACTGTGAAGTGGTATTGGTAGCATCACTAGCCCCGTGTGAGGGTCATTTTTGGGGGTGTAAATAGCTGAGACAAAGGGAACTGTTCCAAGTAAATCCAAAGATTGTCACACAAAGATATTACCAAATGGTTTATCAAGTAGGTGGATGTAGATGTACAGTATTCTATACGATCATACATAGTCTGAACATAAAATGTGCACATCATAGACTTGGTTCGGCTGTAGTAAAGCCTAAAGCAATGAGTGTAGAAAAGTTAAAATGTCGGTTGCAAAATTCAGAACAAAACACACATTTTTAATACATGTATTTGCATTTATTATACATATTTGGTACCAATACCTTAACCTTTGTTAACTCTTGAGTCTTTAATCAAAATGTATAATTTACTTGCTGTAAATGGTTATTACAACCAAAATCTTGCCAAACATTTAGACATTACCACTGTAAGTGTAAAGGAGGCTTTGCCATTTTCCAATCTTATTCTTAAACTGATTTGCTTTGTTAAAATTTTGAACTGTGTTAACTTCATTCTCTAATTAGTCATTGAAGGAAATGCTTGCAGGCAACAGTTTAACTGTTCATGTGGCCCGAGCATTTGTGGACTTGCAAGTTGCAAACTGTATTTGTCATAAGTAAAATTAAATAATTGGCTCTTACACATGTCCAACAACACTAAAACTGCTTAATTAACTTATAAATATCTGAGATTCATACATGTTATATATCTCAGGTTCAGCCTTGTAAACTTATATAAAACTAACAACCAGGTCTCCCAACCATGGAGGTAGTGTGCAAGGTCAGAATATGATAAAGATGGTTCTAATGGCCTGGGCACAGGGCCTGCCAATTGTAAACACCCTGCCTGAAGCAAACACACGCAGGTCCTTGACAAGTTGTTAAAGGGACAAGGCAAAAGAGCTCTGGCTTTGTGAATTGGTCTGTTATTTGTGTAGCTACAATCCAACTAAAAACATGGGTAGTGCAGGTACAGATCTCACTTCAATAAGACTGTAGAAAAAAGCACATCATCATTCAGGATCCTGAGTTAACAAGATGCAAGACCTAATGCTTGGTTTTGGTGGGGGGGGGGTTGATCTTCTATAATAGTTGGGTAATTTTGAATTCCATTGTATTTTGGAACCATCACAGTTTTGTGCTGTTAAATTGGACCCCTGTTATTACTCTAGATCTCACTTCAATGAGACTGTAGAAAAAAGCACATCATCATTCAGGATCCTGAGTTAACAAGATGCAAGACCTAATGCTTGGTTTTGGTGGGGGGGGGTGATCTTCTATAATAGTTGGGTAATTTTGAATTCCTTTGTATTTTGGAACCATCACAGTTTTGTGCTGTTAAATTGGACCCCTGTCATTACTCTTCTGGAGTGTTATGTAATACATGTAGTGGTTTGAGCACATTGAATAATAACTGGCCCCTGGATATGAATTCTATCACTCACAACAGAGAGGGAAAAAATGACCCTGAATGTTTATACTTTATAGACTGAACTGACATCTTGATGACAAGAGACTGGTAACCGCAACCACCTTTAGATGATTGGTTTATTAATTTATATTACTTGAATAAATGAATAAGTGATCAGTTCCACGAGATGGTAAAGGCGCTTGAGGCTAATGCCACTCGCTGGTCTTTTTTCATGCTGGCATCCAGGGTTCCCACATGCCCGGATAGCCACGCACGCCTTGACTAAAGGGTACTGGATACATGGAACAAGTGCAGGTTTTAATTTGTCTTCTGACTGACTACATGTAGTGATATGGTGATACTTATACTATAGTATAAAGTACCTGTAACAATCAGCATTCTGTCAATCACACATGGTGTGGTTTTCTAAGTCCACTTGAATTGTCAAAATAAGGCTGGACCTAAATGCCCCCATTGTGGTTTACCATGGAGAGATACATGAAGAGGTGGTTAACCACAAATCAATAAAGGGCTGCTACTTTCTTGATTTTATTTACATAGTCCTGCCCTAATGTGCCCTAAATTGTTACAACTTAAGATAAGTCATGACAGAGCTATGGGTATGACCCTATGACTATGACAAGTGATAGAAGAAAGCTGGGCCTGGCGAAAGTGCCTTGAGAACCAAAAAAAAAAGAAATTATTTCAGTCCACTCAATCTGTTAATATTTGTGTGAACTTAATAACCAGGATCCCGTGAACTTTTGAAGTGGCCAATCTGAAAAAAATAATGCACCTTGATGTAAAATACTGATGCCATAAAGTTGCAACTTGCTTTATTAGTTGCAGACCTCTTTCATGTCGTAGCCATTTTACATAAATTGTACATAAATTACATGGCAGGCTGATAGTATACTAAATAATCAGGAATGAATCTTGAAATAATAAATTGAACTCTTTGTTACTGTTGGGATTTGTTACTCAATATCATTTTTTTAATACCTTTGCAGGCAAGGGAGTTTTGTTCAGTGGGAGGTTACTGGTGCGACACAGGACACTGCTGTGGAAATGGAGACTGCTGCACATATTACTATGAACTGTGGTGTAAGTATTATCAAAAAAAATCTTGTTTTCACCTTAATTTCTTTTTCTTTATAACCAATTTAAACAAGTTACAATCCCAAGGCCTAAGTGTTAGAGGTGTGCATTTACGGGTAGTACAGGAACCAGGTAACTAATAGACCATTTATATGTTGCAGCTATCTTGAGTTTTTTCCCATTCAAATCAACGTAACCAAAGCGAGGCTGGAATGAAAAATAGTCTGGTTCCTTTTTGCACAAAAAAAAACACTATCATTCAGTACTGTTATTGGATACAGGGAACTTGACTGAAATGGTGGCAGCATGATAAAGGTCTATTGTTAAAAAAAACCACGGGTACCCAGGTTCCCGTTAAAGATTTCGGATCGACACATCAATACAGCAAGATGCAAGTGTGTACAGTGAGCTTCTTAGTTTATAGCTTTATGGTGTAAATATTTTGTTGTTTTTTCTTGTGGCCTTGTTTTCATTTTGAAAATTCTCCACAAATGACTTCAAAAACCTTTCTTTTTCATACTAGTCTGAGAAGTAACTAAGTAATTTGTAAAGTTGGTTACGGATGTATACCCGATCCCATAATCAAGAACCGGTTCCTGACATTAACGGTCGGGTACCCGGTTCTGATGCACAGCCTTACTAAGTGTATGACCTAACTATCATGAGATAAATTTGAGGAAGTGTGGATTCTAGTAGCCCTTGACCAAACACTACTGAAAACTTGAAAGAGGCACGCATCTGACTCACGGACGGACGTGATCTTGTGCCCTGGCAAACCTGTGCAGTCGATTTACCCATCTTTCAACACTGGTGACCTTAAACCCTCCCAATTCCTGGAACTGGGGGTCTCTCCCGGTAGTCTAATGACCTTGCTTCATGAGGGGAGGGGAAGGGGCCCCTTGCTAGAGAAGGGAGGTCAAGTTAAGTGTCGGCCTTGATGAAGTTTTGTTATTTTATCATCCGAATGATAGTAAACTGAAATGTTGAATCCTAACCCTCCCACCCTCCGGATCCTTACAAAATCAACCTTGGCCCACTTTCATGGTGCTGTTGTTGAGCACACAATTTTAACAGACCCTTCTATTTCATTGCGACATATGCGAAAAGCACGCTAACCTAAGGCGCGCTAAGCTAGAAATATCCACGCCATGATAGCCTTTAAGTTTAGCATGCCATAAATGAGCCCTGGGAGTTTTTGTGGAGATTTTTGCAGGATTTTGGGAGATCTAGGCATTGCTTGATGCCACTGTGAAGGATTTAGGAAGGTCCCTATTAAAAATGCCAAGTAGGATTTAGGTTGAAAATCGATGGGACTCTTGGGTGTAATCATGGAGGTACCTACCTCCATGGTGTAACAGAAATCATGGTGCAGTTTCCAAATTGTGTTGCACTCTCAATCTGATGGTCAATTAGGGGGCTCCTAGCTCTGCATCAACGTTTAGGGTGACAAGTTGCCAGACTTGATCTACAAGTGCTTTAATCTTATTTTTCCTGCATGGAGTGAAGATAAAGGGCAGGGAAATGGTCACATGATGTCATATTGGAGTCCCTGGATAGCATTGTTTTGGGTTTTGGGTAGTTGAACCATGGAGGCTACCTCAAATATTTAGGTCTTCAGGTTTATCTTTTTTTTTTGTATTTTGTCTTGTATTTTGTCTTGGTTGACCTACGTGTAAGTAAAAAATCTTGGTTCTTGAATTGTACCTTGAGCTATTGAAATGCCAAAGTGATTGTGTACATTTTGTGGGTGCACCGAGAACTTGAGTGTGCAGCGATTGATGTAAGGTATGTGTTTGCAGACTTATGGATGGAATTTGGGTCGTCTCCTGTGGTTCACAAAAAAGAAACTGTCCTTTATAGAGCCATTTTGGTTTACAATAGCCTATGCAATAGTGTGGCCTTCCAGGGCAGCTTTATGGCATGTTTACATGTACCTGGTCATTTCCCAGGCACTAACTGTATGATGATCACCCCACACTTTCTGTTTGCTTCCTTGAAGGAAAATGTGGATCACTGTCACCATCATGCAGTTTATGCATGGAGCTATGCTATAAATCTTTTTTTTTCTTGTGCATTTTGCATGCATATTGTTACTCTTGCATACATTTGTTACTCTTTTCTTGCACCTACATTTGCACCCCAGTCCTGCAGTCTGCACATTATTTGCTTTATGAACATTGCCTCACCATATTGCCACTCACACAAATGAACAACCAAATGAAACAGTTAGGCCTTATCATCATCTTGTAAGATTGAATTTTTCTACATCAAGGAGATGTAAAGTAATTTTGGGGTGTTTTTTATAAAAAAAAAATAATTATGCTGACAAGCTTTTGTAAATCATGGAGTATTGAGTGCTTAAAAATTAAAATGGAATTACATCTGTGAAGGTTTTTCGTTTTGTTATGTTCCATTATAAAAACACATTGTGGTCATCCTAGATTCATGTCATTCTGTTGGGGGTAAAATAAGGAAACTTAACTGTGAAACTTCAAATGTAGAATTTATTTTTGAAAATTTATGACCCATTCATGAATCTCCCTGATGTCGACCTCACGGGGTCCTTCTTAGCTAAGAACCACTCGATCCCCCCCCCCCCTGTCAAAAGCTGTTTCAATAATAATGTTCTTCCTGTGGCTTAATATGATGCGCCATTGTCTAGATGCATAAATTTCCCAGAAGAGGGTGGGGGGAGGCCTTACACTCCATGCATTCTTTGGAGCTATGAATGTTTTCCCTTTCATAGCTGATGAATTCAATGCCCCTCCTTTTCCAAGAAATTAATGTACAGTGTTGGTATTAATTTTAGTCTGGGAATGATTATTGTTCTACGACCCTCCAGCAACCAAAATTGAAAATTTAGTTACAATGTAAAAAAAAAAAGTAAAGGGGACGAACCTGTGTTTACAGGAACGGAGTGCCCATTTCAAAGCGATTGGGCCAGACTCGAGTCCATGAAATGCTGCTGTGGGGGATCACCACACCTTCTCCATAGCGAGTCTGTTCCCTTCCCAGCATTGAATAATGCCAGTACCCATTTAACACCTGTGGTTGGGAGGTACATGTGTAAAGCGCCTTTCTCAAGAGCAAAACATGCATGGCCACAGTGGGGCTATGCTCGAACCCACAGTCTCACGATCATGAATGATCATGAATCCTATACTCTACCGCTAGACCACACATGCCCACAATGTAGTCTCCAATCAAACCGTCCAAGCTGGGATGTAAATTTCCTATGGCCCTTGCCCTGTGGTACTCTGTAGTAACTGCTTAAACTTAGTTTAGGCAAATGCAGAGAATGCCATCACTTATTTGGGGAAACAAAACTGAGCAATAGTGCAATACCTCAGTGTACATAGCTTCTTGTAACATTTGGTAATCGATATTTTTTAGTCATACTTGTCGAAAGAAGAAACAACTGCGTAACATCATGTACTTCAGAGAAGTTTTTCAAATGAAGATTTCAAAAAAGAATTGGCCGATAATGTCATAAGGGATTTCCGTAAACTTTACTTAAAAGTTTGATGTCTAAGATAGACATCAAACATCATAGTTATGTGGGGTTTTTTTATAAATGTGACACGATTTTTGTATTACTTTTTAAAAAGTATCATTTCTTTTTTGTTCCTTTTCCAGGGTTTTGGCTGGTCTGGTTCCTGATAGTCTTCATCATTGGATTCTGTGTCTGGCAGCGGAAGAGGTTCCATCCCTGGAGAGGGAACGCAAATCACCGCACATGCTCAATTCAGGATTTTCTCAGGGGTTTCAATTTTGACAATATCACACCAGGTACATAAAAACACCATCTGATTTTATTATAGGCCTACTACTAAAAACTTATACTATTTCCTTCATTAGTTCCTACTGTTCGAACATAAAAAGTTATTTAAACGATCAGGTTTGTACACGAAAACTACTGAGGAATTGACTCGGGTCCTTAGTACTATGTCCTCAGTTGTCTAATTATATTTTAGTAATTATAAAACAACTACAATTTTTACAGATTTCCTTGTCTTAATGATTTCCAGTGCCGCCATGCAAGTTGCCATCTTATTCAGAAATAGGAGACACAGTAGGCTACGACACACCGCCTCCGCCGTACACCTACTATTACATCCAGGCTGCCAGCTCGGGCTTCAGTAACAGCAACGGGTCGGACTGTGAGATGTGCGGTAGCAGCAGCGGGCTGTCGCCTCTGACGCCAAGATTGACGACAGAAGTGGCGATAGAAACAAGAGGGTGGGTGATTGACTTGTTTTGGCTTTCTTGGTTGCAGTCATGGTTGTCTTATTCATTGTTAAGAGGTTTTTAAATGGTTATGGTTTGACTTGCATGCAGAGGTTTTCAAGTTTGACCCTGACAGGGCTCATTGTACTTGTGTTCTTGCGCAGATGCTTTCAGCGTTTCCCCTGCCCATTCAATCGTGAGGCGGCCCGCCTCGAGACTTTTTGAGGTCGCCGCGGCCTTTTTTGGCCAATGTCGCCACCTCACGGGAACGAAAACAGAATGAAAAAAATGTTATAGTCAAATCTGTGCATTTTATGTGTGTGTCTTGGTATTTCACCTTAGTATTCTCCAGACTGTTCTTTGAGATAGTCATTCGTACTGTAAACACAACCCCCTTTGGCCTTCAACATGCATGCAGACGTTGTACCTCCAATTCTCTAACTAGTATGGAGCCTTTTCAACGTCTGTGTGTAATATAACTCGTCGAGTCTCGGTGCATGTCGACTCGAGATTTTCGACTGAGTGACAATGATCCCATTTATGGATACATTGCCCAATCTCAAAATGAACGCACGGATCCTTGCTTAATGCAAGGCAGTTAGTCCCAGAATGCTGCGCACGTTCCGGCTTATTCGCAGCGAGTTCCTCAGGTGCAATTGGGCATGTGGTGCGACGATCTCTGGTTGCACAGCACGCGTGACCTGGTACCCTGCTCAGCCTGCCAAGCACGCCTGAATATTTGGCGAATGCATTTTTTTCGTTTTCCAAAGGCTACAAAACGGTACATTTTCGTAACGATTTTTCAATAAAAAATCCTCAAAATACATGCATAAGGAATCTGTGAAATATATATGAAATTGGGCTTATTTTGGAAGCCTGGACTTTCAGGAGAACAGGAAAGTTGGTTTTGGTTTTTTTTGTCAAAAAATAATGCCGGCCCGTGGTTTAAAAAATCTCATAGCAAGATGAACAATGGTAATAATGGTCCTATGATTTATTAAAAGTAGCTGGGCACTATCACCCGCAATTTCTTAATATTATTTTCCTTCCCAACGAATGACGCAAAAGGTTTCCTCAACCCGGTGATAAAATGGCTCAACTGTTATGTCAAAAAAAAAGAGTTTAATATCAAAGTTCAACCATTTATCTTGATAAAGTCGCATCACAAAGAAATAACCCTCCTGTGTAACATCTACCTCCTAATTGGAGGTTCCAAAGTCCCCTGCCGATCTGATAACTTTCTTAGCAAGTTTTATTTGTTCTACTTCACAGGGACAGAAATAAAACGGGTGGTCAGGGTTCCATTGTATTAAAATTGAAAATTGAGTCTGGGTAATAAACAGATGGTGATAGCAGGGCATAGTCTGCAGTGACACCCAGTCTTGTTTACACTTTGAACATACCTTGGATTGTTTACTTGGATTTTTTTATAGTCTGTTTATCTGTGTTACAAGTGGTCTAGAGTCCCAACCTAAGAAAACACCTGTTGAAAAATTGTACAAAATAATGGAATGAAACTGGAGTGTTCACAGTTGTTTATGGTAATTGATGAATCATGCTGAGAAGCATGAAGGAATGAAAACTATGATGTTGGGTTATTATAATGACACTTTTGGATTAACCCCATGTCATGGAGTCCAATAAAGGCTGAGCACAAATGGAACATGCAGTGTGGCACTGGGAACAGAGTGGGCGGGACTTATGGCAAAATCAGGAAAATCCATTGTTCTCGATATCTGTTTAAAAACAAAATTAAAGGACATTTTTAACTCTGTTACCTGAGAGAAAAGAGTTATGTCAAGTAAATTTATGCAATTTTTACAAGATTGTTTTTTATTTGGTTTTTTTTTTTTAATCCAGAGTTGACGGGGAGAGCAGACTGGAGACACCAGACTCCAGTGAGGCCCCGCCCAGCTATGCACAGCTCATGGAAACATCTCGCGAAAGAGAAATGCGTGCCGTTGCCGAGGCACTGACACAGACTCTAACACCGTCCCGTACCCCTGCTGTCACCCCTAGTGCCACACCGGTTGTGTCGCCGCCTGCGACACCAGCTCTATCAACTCCGCGACCAACGCCTGCAGCCACGCCCTCTGCCACGCCCAGACCAACGCCATGTGCGACACCCGCCATGACGCCATTAGTATCTAGATCGCCCAAGTCCTTCTCCCCGGCTGGCACACCCAAGCGTCTGTCGCCAGCGGCCAGCCCCATGAGGCAGTGCAATGAACATGGGGGAGGGGCCAGGAGTGGCATGACCACACCCACAGCCACACCCTCACATCTCACATCCTCAGGAAACTCGTTGGCATCGGACAGGGCCGTGACTTCAACCATTGTGGACTTGCAGATCAACGACAAAGGATCGCTGAACTACATCACCAGGTTGACGTGAGATAAACTCGGTCACAAAATAAAAATTGCATGTGACAGACAGTGTCGGTTATTGACAGAACACTGAGATGCATGCACAATAAAAGCCAGTCTGGTGCCTCTTCAGTGTCAAAGTTCAGTGCTTGAAGTCTGTCACGACCTCCAAGGTCATCTGAAGAACCACCACATTGTCCCAACCCTCCCCCTAAATGATGGTGAGAATCATTTAGTGTATCATTTGAAAGCCGTTTAAAATAAAATGGCTGTTTGCATTAACAGATTTCGTTTCTGAACATTTGTAAGGATTGTTTGTTACACATTTTTGTTGAATGGTCTCTGAGATTGACACATACATTTATGACATGTACCGTAAGTCATCCCAGAATGATGTTTTGAGCTGGTGGTTGTGCTTACGGGCTTTGTTCGAAGCTTTCATTTATTTACATGCATGTTTAGCCAATTGTTATTCTTATTTCATGCTAAGCGGCAGAAATCTGTGTTTGGTCATTTAGTAATTAGCTTAAATTAGCAATGCAAGGAGAGGCAGCTGTAGGTATATTTATTTGTAGATTTGGTCGTTTTCTTCCTTTCCAAAGATTTCTTTATATGTGTGTGTGTGTTAACATCTGTGTTATTGTTACCAGAACAAAAAAAGGATTAAGGTGTTGTTTTCGAATAACATCCAACTAAATTTTTCAAAAATTACTTTTTGTAAGATTGGGTGTCACACTTGGAAGTGTGGTAGAGCTGAATACTTTGCTCACAGAGTTCTGTTTGTGGGGTTTTTTTTTTTTGGGGGGGGGTCCATGCAAATATTACTACTGTACAGAGAATGCACCATTTAATTCAATTGTTTTTGATATTTTCATAACCCAGTTTTGGTGGGATGCACGTTGCTGTTTCCACACCAAACTGAAATGGGATTTGTTTGGCCAGTGCCCATTGGATCACTGTGTTATGACTATTAATAAGAAAGTGCCATTCTTGTTAGTTTCATTGGTGTTGAATGAAAAAGTTTCTTCAATGTTCACATTTTTGTTCTAGCCAGCAAGTTTCCATACGCGGAAATGTTGCACATTTAAATCGTTTGCAGGTTTTTGGCATTGTTTGGTGTTTTTGAAAATGACTTTAGATTTGTTCTCTTTAATTGATGTTATTTCGTTCTTGTAGGTTATTAGTGCAATGTACATTGTTACAAAGCATATAAAGTGTATTTTTCACATTTTAACATGTTTTTCCTTAAAATAGGAAAGAAAGAAAAAACACTGTGCCTGACAGAAATATGTATGTTCTTGTTTTATATGTGAAAATCACCCACCCATAGAACAGGCAAAAAACAGTTAACAGAAATAGTTACTTTCTTATTGCTGCACGAACATGTAGATAAAAGGCTTTTGTTGTTTCTGCCCATAATTAGAGAACTGGTTTCTGTGAAACTGTGTACCTTCATGTAAACAATCATTATACATGTGCGTAAATGTACACCAATTCATTTGACAGTGACAGATGTATATAATACTCAAACAAAAGTACCCAAAAAATACATTAAAAAAAGACATTTTATTGACATTAATTGTTGAATTTGTCACTGATATAATTACATTTAGATATAATAAAGACAAAAAAAATGTAACACTAAAATGTGAAAATACTAGTGCATGATCAACATGTAAGCAGTAGAGAATGTTTCAGAATTTCATTCAATTTTGATATCTGTTTGAAATTCTCTGTAGAGTTCAAAATGGCTTATAATTGAGTCTTTCAATATACCATCTGTTTAAAGGGCTCCTTTGTTGAAAAAAAGTTATGATTTTCTTTTTTCATTTTTGCTTCTGAGTTTGGAGTTGGTGTTTTCTCCAGTTTCTCTTGCATGTAGGTGTATTTGTTAAGTTTGCATTTAAAATGCTTGAACAAATTATTGTAATTTATTATCATTAAGAATATTTTGTCTTGTTACTTACAGACATTTTAGTCGTTAAATTTGGTGTTAAAACATGATGGATTTTTTTGGGGGGGGGTTGGTTTTTACTTGGAAGATATTAACATTTGGTTTTGGCTAAATATTTGTTTGAAAACCACCTACAGTGATGGGTGTTTTCTCAATTGTATACAAAGATTTTTTTATATTTAAACTAAATAGATTTGGTGCATACTGTCTGGTTTTTGATGTTCTCGTGTGAGTTTGGTATGGATGAAAATCAATCATTGGACATGCCATAAAATATGAGAATAGTTGTTGAAGCAAATTCCCACCTATGTAAGATGAACCCCTTTTACGCATTGGGACCATCATCTTATTAAAATGTATCAGTGTTTTTTGGTCATTGGTGCTATTTTTATATGTGTGTAGCACCAACTGGTTGGTCACACACGTTATTATGTCACAGACATTTTTTCCTCCCAAAGTTTCAAAGTGTAGAAATTGCTATAACGCATAGATTTAGTTGTTTTTTGACAGTTGTAAACTTGTTGAAGACAAATACATACTATGTATGTTTGTGTTTTTCATTGGGAACATGCATCACTAATAGCAATCTTGAAATACTGCTGTCTGCCTGAAGCTGAAATGTTTGGGCTAACATTTTGCACAGTGAAAGTTGTGGATAAGCCATTTCCATTTCCACATTTCCAGCTTCTTTGAGATCTTAGTGAAATACGTGTACAAGTAGTTAAAGGTGATGCATGGTCTATAAGAATTGTTATTTTACTTCATAGTGGAGCTGGGGTATACTAGGGAAGCAATGACGAAACTTTAAACGTCAAGTTGAAAAATCTGATTAACAGGTTTCATGGTTGACTTTAAACCTTTTGGTTTTAACATCCATCAGCCAAAAAAAGGTAATGCAACTGTCAAGCGTTATAAAGTTTGGAAAAGCTGCAACTCACAGGAAAACAAAACATTTGTAAAAGTTATTGCGACCTAGCTGATCTTGGGGTAAACAGAAAGGGTTTTGGTGTTTTGTTTCTAAGTCTTGTTAGATCTTAGAAATGGAAAGTTTATTTGTGAAGGGTAACAGTCTTTGATTTTATAGTTGACCTCTGATCGAAGTTCAAGGTCATCGTAAAAGTCTTAACAAGGCTGAATTACAGTGGCAAAAACAAATGTAGTTTGTATATAATAATAATTAAAAAAAACTTTGTAAATAATATCGTACAGTATTCTCCCAGTATAATGTCATGCCAAAGAAAGTATACATTAATACAAAAATAATGGAAACAATTTCTTCCGTTAGTCAGCTTGTCAGTTTGTTTGTGTTGAATGCATGATATGCACGATAGTCATTCTACATCTTGATCTTTTTACATTTGATCTGAGAGGCAATTTGAAGAATTATGTGAAACAGTGAAATATTCTAAGTCAGACTCCAAAAATGTATATATATTTTTTTCAGTCTAGAAAACCGAGAAAAAAATGACATTGATTGTTTACCCAGCAAGTTACTTGAGATGTTGCTTAAGGAAAATTAATGATGTTATTCATTTTTTCCCTAATAGACCTAAGACCTAATGGCTTTGTTTACATATGCGCTTTCCTATGGGAGCAAAGTTGGGACGCCAGATGAAGCAGGGACCGTCTACCATACCACATAAGAAAGCGCACATGACAAAGCGTCACGTCATAGGTCTCGGGCTGGTCTTTCTGGTGGTGGTGTTTGGGTTTGGGTGTGGGACTTGTGGCACCCGATGTATGCGATCCCATGTGTAAAAGAAAGATACCCACAACACTGCACCCACACTTGATAAACAAAAGTTTGGGCGTTTCATATGGGGCTCCAACCAACTTCCCACGACCCCCCCCCCCCCCTTTTCCCTTCGCTCGCTCTCTTGCATCTTGCGTTTCCTCACCTGACGCAAGAGGGCGGTATACCCTGCACCTTGTTGCGACGAGCAGAACCGTGCGATTTGCTTGCATTATCTGCAGCAAGAAAAGATGTTAACCGGGCCCAATCTTCATTACTGGCAGAGGCAAATAACTGATCATATGCATAGTAGAAGATGGCTTCCTTATTTAGAAGCAAGTGTCGGCATCATAAGCAGACTGAGTACCATCGTGTTCTTTCTTGCAAATCAAGACTTTTGTTCTGTCTGGTGGTAGTACATGTACTAGCCATTGGTGCACCCAGGATTTGGCTTTGGTGGGGGACTCACAAACAAATTCCTATTTTTTTGGGGGGCGGACTTTTTTGACGTTGGTGGTGCCATTTACACCCCTATTATACTACATTTTAGGCAACATACAAATCACCACGCTGTCAAATTGTGGGAGTAAAACAAAATTGAAAAAAAAAAAAATGTGACAACCTCTTGGGGGAAGGGGGGGGGGGTCTGTTGCTACTAGTCAACACCCTACATCTCAGATATGTGTTATAGACTCTACACAAGGTCAGGTAGTTCCTCCGAACATGGGATGTTGTAGAGATTCGCATTTCTTCATGCAGGGACAAAACCGGCAAAAGCCAAACCGCAGATTAAACAAGTGATGATAAGTACGCCCCTGTTTTATTCCCCGTACTATTTTCGAGTTTCTTCACTCAAATAGATTTCTTTTCGCTATTTTGCTAGAAATGTACAGAAGTTATTCACTTTGAAAGAGAAATCGACCGGAAAAAAACGGCCTATGTTTAGTTATTGAATTATTACTTTACAATTTCGACAATACTTACGTTCTCGCGGGGAAGTAGGACGGTTCCCTCCCCACAATCAATATCGAAAATGTACGGACCGAGCCAGGGCAGTCTGCGCATAAAGCTGATCTTTTTCTACCCAAAACAAAAAAAATTCAGATGTTTTGTAGACTAAACGTCAAAAAAAATTGTTTTGATTGGAATAAAACATAGAAGTTGAAAATTTGGTTACGTCTCGATAGTCCGAAGTCCCATGGGTCCGAGGTCCCATTGGCCCGAAGTCCCATTGGTCCGAAGTCCCATTGGTCCGAAGTCCCATTGGTCCGAAGTCCCATTGGTCCGAAGTCCCATTGGTCCGAAGTCCCATTGGTCCGAAGTCCCATTGGTCCGAAGTCCCATTGGTCCGAAGTCCCATTGGTCCGAAACATAATACTGTGTAGTTCCACTTGTTCAGGTTGACTAACCCTAACCCTAAGCCTATAGGGGCGTCGGACCAATGGGACTTCGGACCAATGGGCCGTCGGACCAATGGGACTTTGGACTAAAGAGACGTCCTCGAAAATTTGTGTAACATGGAAACTGAACGAATTCGTTTAGGAGAGAACAAAATCGATAATTATAAGAGAACCGTTATGGGCAAAAATAAAAGCTTCATGTCTAGGGCCAATGTGCCTCCACATTTATTTGCTAGCGCCCTCAATCGATGAGTAGGCTCTTGAGCGAGCTAGAGTATGATTAGGGAAGATCGGACTTTCGCTGAAAAAGTGAAACGTGACGTAGTTGCCTATGGCGAAGGGCGCCCCTGGCGTTGGATAGGTAAAAAGCAGATTCAGTTGTGCAAAGCCAAACAGCTGAAGGCGCCCTATTGTGTTTCATCAGTCACTGTACAAAATGATACCCAGTTTCCGATCATAGCCATACGACCCGGACGGACGTACGCACGTACACAACTGTACGTCCCATACGTACATGTGTACACGATCTCAAGAGAAAAATGTCGTGGCAAGAATTCCTCACTATTCTTCTTCTTATTTTGTACATATCTCAATTTACAATCACTGAAGGACTAAACCTAAATTTGCAACCGTTATCAGGTGAGTGAGACACTGTCATTTCTTATGTGATATATTATCAAAAGTGACTCTAATTCCGTCCAAGAGAGAGCGGTGCCTTGGCGGCCGCGCCGGCCGGTCGGCGTTGCCGGTAAATGGAACCAGATCGTCGGTAAAGCCCTGTCACGCGTGTCCGCCCACAGCATGTCTTAGTGGTCGCCTTGGAGTTATACACGCTTGTGAAACTGCATTGGTATGGGTACACTGAATTGAACTTTATTTCATCTCTTACTACTTAGTAAGTACAAGTATACAAAGTAATAAGCAGATGATAAATGCAATTTATAGAGATGCGAAATCATAAATAAGCTAAGCTTTGTGGGCATGGATCCTGATACTATTTAGCCTTTTAGGCCTATAGTATGTGAAGATGGAACTGGAAGGCCGTCAAACAATTTTTAGTTTGTTTGTAGGGGTATGTGACGCTTGAGTTATAACTACAATGGGAAAAACCTATAAATCAAGTGTTTAGTTTAGAAATAACAAGGAAAAATGTTGCAACCTGATGCCACTTTTCTTCATATACATGTATCATCTCAATGAAGGTCATTCATCATGTTCATTGTAAAAATGATGATATAAAATACATGAATCTGGGACTGAGTACATTTCCAATTTTGTTAGGAAATACAATATATGTACGTAGAAAATTTTCTTGACTCTCCATAGACCTTGTACACAATCGCGGAAGTGGTATCAGGTTGCAACATTTTTTTCCAAATAACAATATTGAAATGAGGTCGGTCAATAACAAAAATAGATGAAAAACAAATTTCAGTAATAAGTGAAATTATTGCAAACATTAATCAAAAACACCTCTGAGTGGTAGATAAAAGTAAAATTTAGTAAAAAGTGAAAATTGAACTGAACAAGATATAATTGATTTACAATGGTAAAGTGAACAAGGAGCACTTGTCAAAAATTAAATAAAAAATAAAAAAAGTAATAGAATTCATTGAAGCACATGCAATTAAAATAGGACAAGATAATGATATTTGGAATGAGGCTTAGGCTTATTGTTTTGAAAGGAATGGCTTGAAAGACTTTTGAATATTTTAGTAGATTTAGCAGGGGTCGCTGAAGGGAATTCCACAGCTTGGGACCTTGAAAGGGAGTGGCTTTTTGAGGGAGAATGAAAATTGGGAAGTTGGTAATGGGCAAATTGCTGGGTTGAATGAGAATGAATTATGCTGTTTCTAGAAAAAAAACCAGAAGCAAGATATTTTGGAATAACATTCTGAGATAATTGATGCCTGAAAATGTCGAGCTGAAAGGTGTAAAAATCATAAATATTTAATGATAATCTTAGTTGAGAGACATAAATCTCAGTCTGATATCCAGTCTGATACCTTACTAGGGCGGATCCAGGGGGGGGGGGGGCCAAAGGGGGCCATGCCCCCCCCCCCCAAAAACGAAACCAATTGTTGTTTTATGTGACGTCGCAATAAAGGCAGGCAATGAGTACACCACCATCTTTTTCTCAAAAAACATCAGAAATTGCCTCAGATCGCACCACAGAGCATCGAGAATCCAAACAAATTTCGGGACCCTTAAGCGGGCCCCGAACACCGCGCCGTAATTTTTCGACCCACTTTTTGGGAGACACAATTTTTTTTTGGCCCCCCCCCCCCAAAAAAAATTGTGTTCTGGATCCGCCCTTGATACCTTAACTTATTTGGAATTTACAGTATTCATTAGAACATTAATATCTTTATGATTGTACAATAAATTTGAGTCATTGGAAAATAGAATAAAATAAAATTATATTATAATTGTATTATAATAAAATTAAAAGACTCAAGCAATGACAGATGGCAAATGATAAATTATGGTGCCAGTACTGCTTCTAAAAGATGAACATGTAAAAAGTAAAGACAAAATCATTTTCAAAGTATTTTCAAGCAAAATTGGAAATGTTTCTCAGTCCCAGATTCATGTTTTTGCAACATTTTTGCAATGACTGACCTTCATTGAGATAATATATAATGCAAAAAGTGGCGCCAGGATGCAACATCCTTTCCTTTAGCATTATAAAACTAATTCACTAATTCAAAATGTGTAAATTAATAGTTCTCGTGGTGTGATTTTGGGGCCCGACAATATTTCTGTTCTCACAGTGTAGGCTAGGTGGTGCCCCACATTCAGTATTTATAATGTACTGCCCCGGTATGTACAGACAGGGAACCAGTCTGAGCTACGTAAAATAAATTAAAACCTTTTTTTCAGAGGGTTGCAGATGCTCCAAAAAGGGAAAAAAAACCTTTTTTTTTGTTGGACAAATATATAAGGTGAAAATGTATTAATAAAAAGAAAATTGAACTGGTTAAAGAGCACAATGCAACTTCATCTGTAGATCATAGTGCTATTAATTGTCTACTACACGTACGGTAGTAGGCCTACAGTACTATCCATATGTTAGAGGTTTTGGTCGCTGGAACTCACACATTCACAGAGAAATTGTTGAAACTTCCGGCTGTTCTGCCATGCTCAACCATTGCACAAAACTCCAAATTTTCAAGGTGTTTTATGTGCACAGTATGTAGATTTGTGTCCCTACTTACCTACCCTATTTTCAAATGCCATGTAATCGGAAGCAGATATATATATTTTTGTGGCCTTAGCATGTAAGTCAAGATTAGGGATACCGGTCGAGGCAGTGATACAGGAATGATTGTTGAAAATATTGTCTATATCGTGCACCACCACTGTTGACAAATCAGTCCGTCACAGTTTTTCCACAAATGCTCCTTTACACATGCATCTAGAGAGTAATACATGTAGACCCATATGATGCATTCTGCAAGCCTGAATTGTCATTATTTGTGCTGTGGGACTAACGTGAGTAATGCATCATGCATGCACTTATGTACAAAACTGTTTGTCATGTTTGTCCTTGGATTCTATTGGGCAGTGTAAACAATTTTGGATGGCTGGTTTATATATACCATATGAACAAGAGACGAGAAAAACGTAGTTTAGTAAGAGCTATGTTCTATAGCTTTACAGTTTTCATAAATGTGCAACTTTTTCCCTTTTTTCAGATAGCTATATTGCATTTTGGAAATAAACTCTTCAAGTATTTGGAATCCTGGATGAAATTTTAAAAAATTAAATTGTTCACTGAAATAACTATTTGTCCATATTTGGTCCATATTAGAAAATGTAAACATTTTACATGTAACAACAGATTCCTGCAGATTGCTTGAAATGATTTCCTCTTAAAGGGAATATACATCATTTGCTTTTGCTGTAATTTTCAGAAATGGATGGAATTGGGGGGTTTGAAATATAAAGCAAATATAGTTACACTAACTTTTTGGAGGTTTTGGGTTCGAAAATGCTATAAAAACCAAGAAAAACGATCATTTTCCTGTAGTCTGGTTCCCTGACTCCATATAAGAAGAAACAGAGCAGTTTACATACATTTGGGAATTGTAAGGTCAGGGAACCAGTCTAGCTGGCTCGTACCCGTTCATAGGTTTGTAATCGATTGCAAACAAGTGCAATGGTCAATTGGGGCCAGTATTTGAAAAAAAAAGCCAGTTGTTTCCAACGCTGATCGGCCGATCAGCGTTGGAAATTGATAAAAAAATACCACTTTTCTTGAAAATGACAGTATACCAGGTGCCATAATTTTACAGGATGCTTTAGACTGTCATTTACCAACATCCTATTAAGGTATTTCGCAAAAACTTGGTAGTTTTATTTTTCGATGTTTGCAAATGTTGTATATTCTCTTTAACTTAAAGTGAAGATGAAGATTTTTCCCAGAAAAATGGTGGAAACGTGAAGTTTCACCTTGACTCGATCATAGAATGCATTGCATCTGAAAAAAAAAACCTGCAAAACTAACTTTATGGTTTATCCATGTGGAACAGGACCGTTGTATTCAATTTGTGTGCAGTATCAATTGGCAACACTGTCAGTACAAAGGTTGTTACCATTGAAGCAAAGAAAAAGGGGGAAGAATAAGTTCTGTACTGATGACGTCACCCTTTGTTTACATATGTGCACTTTCCTATGGAGCCAGTGGGGGCCCACGGTCCACTGAGCACCATAGGAAAGCACATACGTAAACAAAGTGTGACGTCATCAGTACAGAGGCTAATTCCATACATGGACATTGCTATTTGTTCCTGAAGAGTCAAGTGACCTATCAGCCATCAGAAAGCGGTAACATGTCCTAAAACGTAAATGTTAGCAGAGAAAATATTGAAGCTTGTACTGAGAAAATGCTTTGACTTTTTCCGACCAGTCTCATAGGTTTTGTTCACAGGGTATCAACTTCAAGTGATATCCAGGTATGGAACTCTACTGGAAAAAAGTATGGAATCACTTGATTTTAAGGTCATGACAGTTCTAGTTAGTAAGTTTTGAAAATCAAAGTGAATGTGCAGATTTTGTCTCTGGGTTGTGAAGTGGTGCACAACTTTTTTTTCTTGAAAAGAAGGACCAAATTTAGTAGTCTCAGGTGACATGAATGTTTCTTGAATTGTAGGATTTTATTTTCCTAATTGTTTGGGCGCGCAGGATTGAGAGTCTGGTTTTCGGACTTCTCTTCTTATTAAATTGTCTTCTTCTTTGTTTCCCCTAGGGCTAATTAGTAAATCAAACTAATGACTGCCCATGGTTTTCTTTCATAGTTTATCAGCGACCAATTGTTGCCTTATTTTTCTCATTTCCTGTCCATTTTTCTTATCTCTGGCAGAATGGAGTTATCGGACAGGACGAGCAAAGCAGCTTGGGAAATTAACCGATTATGACATCACGATACCCTACCGGCTGGATGGGCGTCAACGAAGGGATACAGACACTCTGACAGAGGTATACGTTTATTAATGGTGGGGGGGGGGGGGGGCATTGGCAGATCGGGGGAGGGGGGGGGGAGTGGGCAACAGTGGCCAAAGCAATTTTTTGTCGGAGTGAAGACACATTTTTGTCTTTAATTTTCAGGAAATAAATTAAAACGTTTCACTTGCAAGCCATCAGCTACATGTACAAATACCTTTTAGTTTCAATATTACAATGTGGAAATTGCGCATGATTACTTAATCCCCTACCCTTTTTGAAAAAAATTACTTGAGCCCTCTTGGCCCCCCCCCCCTGAAAATTTGGTTCTGAATCTGCCCTGGGTGGTGTGGGGGGGGGGGGGGGCAAGGGAGTGGAAACTTGTTGGCATCTTACATATGTACCAATTAACAGGTGGCTGACACGAAGACTTGGCTGATAAAAAAAACCTTTTAAAAAAATTGAAATGAAACCGAAAAGGGAGCTATCGTATACATTGTCATGATGACATTGAGTAAAACAAAATTCATTGCCAAATACAACTGTACATGTCATCTTTCTCACATTCATGTACCGTTCTTGTTAAAACTATCTTCTTGTTAAAACCATGCCTCAAAAACTCTCCATAGTCAAGCACTATGATTCATGGCTGCATGGTTCTTGTAACCATGGCAGTATCAAGGAGCTGTTTTTGGATTGTACAATTGATGACCCTCTCCCATGATTCACAGATTGTCTGACCCAGGGTTTCCATGTGGGTAACATTAGCGGACTCCTCAGTTGTTGATGACAAACTACAAATTCTTGCCCAATTGTGAATGCATACATTGTGCATTAGGGGAAATTGGGATAAAATGCAGTGTCTAATAAAATGAACCCTAAATTATAATGAAAATGCAGTACAGGACGAAAAAAGATAATATACTGCACATGTAGTGTGGATAGCTTTTACATCTGGTGTCTATTCCACAGTGTGATGCGTACACCTGGCCCTTATTTGGGCATTGCCTAAATTAACGCAAGACTTTCCTTCAGGGAAAGATGACTCACAAATCAACCGACCTAAATTAGGCCGCATGGATGTTTTAAATTGAGTTTCTTCATCATGAGCATTTCTGATTCCTTTGAGGGTTATTAAGCCAGTTTTTTTTTTTGTGGCTGTTTTGCAATCTTCAGTACAAATGTACACGTGTAGTATCTTTGTAATTGATGCAGTATACTAAAATGGAACACACACATACGGTACAGTGATCACAGACATATTGATTAAAGGTACAGTCCATCATTTGCAGCTATCCAAAAAGTAAGTGATGTAATTATTGTTGAAAAGTATACTTGGTTTAAAGATAGTAATGGGACTAAACTCACTGTGAAATTGTTCTTTCTGACAAGCTGTAATTTTGAAGAAATTGATGAAAGAAGGCCATTTCCAACGATGCATCTTAAGACGCATTCTTAGAAATTTCCATTAGTAGTTCGTTTTTCATTCGGCGAAGCGCACGCAAGTGTTGACATGAGGCACACGCACGCACGGTTGCTATAATTAGTCGGATCAGTGTGCGGCATCGCGTAGCTGCAATCGGCTCAGTGAGAAAGTCTCTTGGACACTGAATTCAGGCCCAATTCAAAACATGATTCGGCAACTTTTGATTTGAAATCAAGATCCTAGAATATTGTTTTCTCGGAATATAAAATGTACATCATTCACTGAGCTGAAATTTCATCAGGTTAGTTGTTCAGCACCCATATATTTAGAATTTGAGCACTTTTGTTGCTTCAAACAATCATAATGCACAAATTACAAATGATGGATGCTACCTTTAATTAATAAGTGCTTGCCATTTTTTTTTTTTGCACTATCAAAACTCACTGTGTACATGAAAAACTGAGTTTTGATAGCACAAAAAAATCAAGCCTTATTACATTGTAGATCTCATAGGTTAGTGTTATAATTTGTACAAACTACAAAAATGTATGGGAAAATACTGTATTCCCTGTTTACTACAATCACAAAACTTTCTTTTCAAATTTCCTGTAAAAAAACCCCCTGAATTCGGTCATTTAAAAAAAAAAGTAATTTCTTTTATTCAAATCCACAATAAGTCCATCAGTTCATGAACTCATTCCTCTTCATCTTGTCCACAAAACCTATCTTCCTTATCAATCTGGAGCCATATTTCCTGGAAGTGGTAAATGTCCGTCTGTCCAGCGGATCTGCAAGTCCAAAGTGGACAGAAGGACAGTGCTCTAGACTCTGTGTGCTCAGGAAGCTTCACTTCAGACTATTAACCCACACATGAACCTATTGGCCAACCCTTTTTGCTTGTGATAAGATCTCTGTACAATAGCAGTGCAGTCATTTTTTTTAAACGTTAGTAATATACCGGTAGGATTGATGGTACAAATACGTGTGACCTAGAAATGCCTCAAGACCTTGACACAGTACATTGTTGGAAATCAATGGACACTGTTTTGCCATTCAGCCTCAATCCTCAAAACTCCTTGAAAACTGCCTGGTTGGTTTTGGAGGAATGAGGTGAGTTAGGGTTAAGCCGGCATCTAAAGACATTGGGTTATTGCGGTACATATTTATTTTCAGTGAGAATTTTCGTCAAGGCTTACCCTCTATCCCCTCCCCCAAACAAACAAAAAAGAAATTGTATACATGTACATGTTCATGTACATGTATGTACTACATGTGTATCCATGTCCTTAACATTTAGTTACCATGCACAAAAATATAATTCATGTAAAATGTTATCAGTACGTACATGTACATGTAGCTGCATGTATTTTAGAGAATGTTCAGCAGCGCTATTTCGCCCCTACCAAAATTGATTGTTTCATTATATATAAATTTCTTCATTTCCTCAAAACCTCACGAACTTAAATTTGTTCTCCTAGAACTGATTTAGTCTAGCATGAAACTTTTTTATGTTCACTCAATTGGCTCAGTACTGTAGTCCAAGTATAAAATCAAGATGTGTAAAAATAATGTTTCCTTTCTAATGGAACTGTGGGCTGTCTCTAGAGTCCAAGTTGAGAGTCAGTGATTAAGCTAATGGCCAAGTGGCTGTGACCCTCCCCTCAAGCCTCATCTGACCTCTCATCAATAGACATAACAGACATTGTAGACCTGCATCTTATGCTCCTGCCATGTAGTTTGTGTACTGACGTCTTTTGAGAAATCGTGACCTGTTCTTACAAAGCCAGATGCTTCTAAGCAAGGCTTGAAATGATGATGACAAATTAAGTGGGGAGTGGTTTTATTTTGGATTTGTCATTTTTTAATAAATTTGTAATCTTAAACATGTCTAAAATGTGATGTCATGCCAAGTATTCTCGCTGTGAATTTGTAAAAGTTGAGCGTATTAATTCAGTTCTTGTGAATTTCGCAGCGACTGCTTCCTGACATCAGATTTACTTCACTTTCGTTTTTGTGTGAAATGTGAACCGGCCTTTATAAAGAGGTGTACCAAGAAATGCATTTAAAGTGCAAAAAAAAAACCCAATTTAACAGGCAATTTCTTTGGTTTTCACCCATCACAAACTTCCTATTTAAATAATTTGCCAAGGAAAGTCCATTAAAAATATTAAACTGTCATCGTATAGTGAACAATCTATATTTTAACAAATTCAAAATACATGTAATAAGTTATTTTTATGGGCCGACAAGAAAGCCTTTTGTGACAGAACCATAGTTTTTATTCTGTATCACAATTTTTCAGAAGATGAAATTTGCATCCGGGTGATGTAAATTCACCATTGGGTTTGCCCTTCACTGACACATTTTTATGAATACTCTGCGTTGTCCGGAGTGATTGTGAGAAAAATTACTTGAGTCCCATGCACAGGTGTACATGTAGTTTGTGAATTTTTTTTCTCACAATCACTTTTGTGGGGCAATACTGAGTGTTTATAAAATACAATCAGTGAATGGCAGACCCAACTTTGAATTTAAAGGTAGAGTCCATCATTTGCAGCCATCCGAAAAGTAACTGGCGTAATTATTGTTGAAAAACTAACTTGGTTGAAAGATAGTAAGGAGACTAAACTCCCTGTGAAATTATTCTTTCTGGGAAGCTGTCATTTTGAAGTAATCAACGAAAGAAGGCATTTCCAACGGTGATTCTTAAGAAGCACCGTAGGAAAATTTAAACCGCGGTTGTTATAATTCGTCGGATCAGTGCGCGACGTCGCGTATAGTTGCAATTCAAAACAATTCAAAACATGATTCAGCAACTTTTGATTTGAAATTGAGATCTTAGAATGCTGTTTTTCTCGGAATGTACAGCTGAAGCTTAGCTGAAACTTCATCAGGTTAGTTGCTCAGTATCCTTCATTAGATTTTGAACTCTTTTGTTGCTTCAAACGAACAAAATGCACAAATTACAAATGATGGACTCTACCTTTAAATCACAATTGATGAGGAAATGTGATGAGGTCAAGACTTTCACAATTGTTTCCACCCCCACACTTTTTTGTTGACGAGGTACATTGTATTCACCTCTTGACCTCTGTGACAGTGAATCCATTTTCTTCATAAAATAAAATTTGTATTCTGTGTACTCTAGACCTGTACACCTGAGAATTGAAAGGTTTTCAGTGTAAACAAATGTGATGGCAGAAAGGTATTTGAATCCAAATTATACATAAGACTCGTCCCACAGGATCATGCTGCATTTTTTAGCCTGGCACTTGGCAGAAGCCTGGCTCTCTAGAATTTGACCCAAATCTACAGGCGCAGTATGCAACATTACATCACATTGCAGTCAAATGTATTTTACTAAGTAATACTCACAATGTAGTTGTTCTACATTGTAAGACAATAAAGAGCTGGAGCAGTTTAGGGTGGTACATGCAGGGAGGAATAGGTGGAGCAGTTTGGGCGGAACAGAGACTAATGTAATAGCCTATGTGTTAATTGTGAGGATTACAATTAATGTATTGTCATGGTTGTCTTCTTTCTTTTTTTAGCCATACCCAGAAGTTTGAGATTATCGCTCTCCTTAAACTCCTTGCGCTGGAACAATTTGTCAACATTTTTTTTCATTTACATTGTACATATTTTTTCTCTTGGTGTGCCAGGTCCAACACAGAGATTTTGGATCTGTTGATTATCATGCAACCTCAGCACAGGGTAATCTTAGCATGCTACAGCCATTTTCGATTCCTCTACTTCTGATAATTTATATCCGTGATCTCACTTTTCAACAGCAGCGCTGAAATTGATACACACAGTGCCCCCTAGAGGAACACTCTGGCAGTCAAGTATTGAGACAGCATATTAGATGGTTTTGACTCTGTGCTGTACGTATGCTGTGAGTCCAAACGTTCAGACTAAATGAAGCGTGCACTTCTGCTCTGATTAGTTTTTGTCAGCTGACAATAGTGTACATTGTACATATGAGGTCATTTCCCGGAATTGGACTCAGTCTGGCTATGGGTTTCTGAGAATGAAATTACAATTCGACATATAACAAATAAAAGCTTTGTTGAATTGTTATTGCAACTTCACAAAATTGTGTTTGTTCATTTAATTGTCCAATTTCACCATACATGACTCTGTGTGTGAACGAAAGATACTATAACAAAAAAAACACCAGGAATGTCCGAAACACCTGTAGCTATTAACATACGAGTCTAAACATGAACAAAAGGAAACACCCTGAAAGAATAATTGAAAGCTGTAACTAACAATGTGTAAGCGTGTTTAAATTACACACATTTTAGGCTGGCATTCCAAGGTCACACCAAACTAAATTATTCTGAAATTTTTAATGAAGTTTGACATTTGAAACAATAAATTAGGAGCGATTAAACAGATCATATCATTCAGAACAACTCCACAGTGTGGTCAATGGGAAAACTAATACGTACAAGTTAGCCAGTTTGAAACAAAAAGCTGCAGTATTTGGGTCTACTTGAGTTGCCCGTGATTCTGTTTGTTTTCATGCTACCATGGAACACTCAGTCTATGGGGAGTACTTTTCAAATTTGCAGTGGGGTTCAAGATTTGAGCCCTCATGCACTTCTTCTTGAAACAAAACAAGGCAAGCCTGGGAAAGCTGGTCCCAGAGTGCATACAATTCCTTTCAATTGATTCATGACCGAAGTCTTTTCATGCATCTGGTATATAGACACAATTTAACCCAATCATTGCCATTTATTATACAGGCAGTGTTGTAGTGGAATCCATCACAAGTCCTTCACAAGTCCTTTTATAAGTCCAGTCATAAGAAATATGATGAACAATGACAAAGGAATGCATTCGTCACAGTTAAGTTGAAAATAGCTGATGATTTGACTTGAGAATGAAGGACTTGTGATGGACTTGCAGGGACTTGTGATGGACTCGACTACAACACTGATTACAATCCTATTTCAAACTTTTGGGCCAAGGTGAGATTTTAGCAAATTTGTCTAATTTACAAGTGTCTGACAATATGAGGACTATAGGCTGGCCCTCTGGGACCTGCAGAAAAGTGGTATAAGCCGTGTAAAGTGGTTTTCAATTCATAGAACAGGAAATGAGTAAGGAACACACATCCCACCACTGGGTCGGAAACAATGCCCTATCTGTAAACCACTCCTGTTAAACAATTGCCTTATTTGTCACTAATAATGAAGGCTCTTGTCTCTTCCCGAATGCCAGGCATTGTATATGTGCACATTCACTCAGTCAGTGGGTTGCCCTTTATATTCCTTACCCTGCCTGGTTGATAACATTTTATAGGGACAAAGCATGGTGTTCCTAACTGGACTACAGACTACAGCGTGTGTCAATAAAAACGCAGGATTCAAAGCGATTTTTTTTCTGAGAAAATTATGCTACTGGTGTGCCTAATTTGATAAGGATTTGATTGTCCGTAATTTCATCTTTGACACGATTTTTGTTTGGTGGAATTTGGACTTTTGGTTCAAAAGTTATGACAAGTTTTGTGAAGCCCTTCTGAAGCGGGTTGGTCTGATTCAATGACCTTAACACAACGACCAGTTATGTACAATGCAGGTATGCATTGAAGACAATTAAACCAGAACAAAACTTTCTTTGAAACAACTGATGATAAGTATCACTTAAATTTAATAACTGGACTATCATTGTTGGGGTCACTTGGGCAATTATTGACTATTCATAAATACCAAAGACAGTTTACGCATTCCTATTGGTCGAGAGCCCGTCACGTGGCAGGTCTTAAACGGATGATAAAGACATGGCTAGCTGGTCTTAAACACTTTTCCAGTGTCACAATAAAATGTGGACTCCTAAAAATCCAGTGCCTCTTATCGTTTCATTGGTTGAACGTTCACAATCCTCACGTAGGCATGCGCAACACTACCAGGGAGTCAGAATTTTATAGTTCTAAATTCAAAACGCAATGCGCCAGGTGCGTTCTGCGTGACATCGCGCAGAACATGATACGCGCGCGTCAATCTCCATAAAAGGGTTGTTTACATCTTACTCGCCAGCTGAACACTCCATTATTTTGCAAGAGGGATGTTTCAAAAAGCATAAAGTGAATTTGTTGAACAAAATCGGGATGTTTTGAACGAATTATATGATTCTTTTTTACCGAAAAGGTATTTATGAATGGGAATAAATATGTGCTCCGTCGGTATTTATCACTCTGTTTAAGACCACTTAGAGTCTGGGTGCTGATAATTACCCTCGCCTCCGGCTCGGGTAATTATCAGCACCCAGACTCTAAGTGGTCTTAAACAGAGTGATAAAAACCTCCGGAGCACACATTTATTCCCTTAGTAATAACATTGATTGTGGACTAAAGGATTATGTAAGCCTAATCCTGCCACACATGTCCTTCTTTGTGATCCACAAATACTTTCACCTGTACTGAATTCAAACCTTTCATTAGGTATGTGTGATTTCACAAATCAGACCAGCTTGGAATTTATAACCCTTCTTCAAAGTACTCTATCTCTGGACAGGATTGTCCAAATGAGATGGGATAAAAAGCATAGTGAAGAGAATGAAAGGTACTTTGAAAAGAGGGTTAACATTATGATGAATAGGGGTGGTTTATATACTTAATATTTTTGTTTCTAATCCTGCGTTTGTATTGACACACGCTGTACATGTACATGTAGATAGGCAATGTCCCATAGTACAATCAGGCTTCCTTGATTAAGACTTAATGTTCCAATTGGTATAATAGCAGAGATACCATTTTATCTTTATTGCAAGCCTATGGTAAACGATATCTACACAATCAATTAGTCAGCCAATCACGGATCATCATATGAACTTAATCAGCAATATAGTTTTGCATGCTACCGGTAAATGTGGGGTCCGTGAGATGACGTTGTCTTTAATAGGAACACATTTTGTGCAACCTTTTCCTCTTACATGTAAATGTATGAAAACTACTTGACACCTCTTTTTTTGTTAAATTTTTGAAAAGTGCAAGTGCTTCTTTAAACATTTAAAAAGGTTCCGTGCTTTTCCGGAGAACTGAGGACTTTGTACATTGCTGTGATGTCATTTCAGGCAGACACTGTTCAGTTCAGGGGCTTTCTGTTCAACTTGTTAACCCAAAAATTTGCTCCTTGAAAACAATTGTGAGAAAATGTGCTCATTCGCCTACTGCCATGTATAGAAAATAAAAGTAGCATGGAGGTTTCTACCTGAAATGACATCACACTTGTGCTCATAAATATGGAAATTGGCCTTAGCATAAAAAAACAAAAAGACGCCCAAATACCCTTGAAAATGGCAAAATGAAAATAAGGTTAAATGGGACACAGAGGTGCATTTTCAAGGATTGCATAATAACGAATTACATTGTATGGGCCTAAGTTACGGATCACATATGTGTGGAACACATATGGAATACAGTAGCCCAGCTACTCCCTGCACTTGAAGCCTTGAAGTAAGCCGTAGACATTTGCATAATTTGAGACTGAAAAAAAGTTAATGAAATTATTTTTTGATGGTCATTTGCAGGCTGGGCATCTAAAAGAAGCGACATTTGTGCTGCAAGTTGGCGCGGAAGAAATCACGCTCGACCTGACATTAAATGAGTAAGTAAAGGTATTTGAGAATTTAAGTCTGGTTTGTCGTATGCATGATATGGACCGGGGGGGGGGGGGGGGGGGGGTACGTGCAAATGAATCACCTCCTGTACATGTTTTCCTGATATCATTGCTAAACAAGATTTTCATGCAGAGCCTTTATGAGTTTGTACACTGATGTCTTGCCAACGTTTTGACACATTCCATACAAATTAGCTGTAATATTCGTGAAAAAGTCACATTTTGTACGCCGGGCACCCGACAAACCTCGTAGATGGAAGTGTGGAATACATTTATATTAGTGACCATATCTACAAAATGCTTCATTCAATTGCGCCAAAACTTTGTTCATTATCTAAGCATGAAAGTCTCTACCATTCCTCAACATTCCATAAAAATCAGTTCCTGACTTTCCCAAGATCATTGCACCCTCCATGGGCCCCAACTAATGGCCTTTATGGGTTAAATGTCGAACAGTCACAGCCACACTGTCCAAGTGAGCAAGCTTTTGTCCCAGTAGCCTATTCAGCAAACTGTGACAACACATTGGTAATCCCTTAGGGAGAATATGACCTCCCTGCTTGTAGTTTACAGCACTCTCAACAACCTTGACTTCTTGCACAGGTTTGATGTGGGAATTCAGAGTACACAAGCCCAAGTGATGGCTATTCTGTAGTGCAACGGTGTTATACTGGGTGTGTGGCTTGGGACAATTTATCATGCATTGCAGGATGTATAAATCAGTTGTTTGCATAATTAATGGAATTTTTTTTTTACAAATGTCAAGGAAATACAGCAAATATGACTGTCACTTATACTGCTTCCTTTACTGTTTTTTGTTCTTTTTTTCATGATCACGCTGGAAACCTGGTTGTCAGTTTTGCAGCCGATACGGCGATAGCCTTGCCCGGTGCTTCATTGTTTGTCTGTCTTTTCCTTTTCCAGAGACCTGTTTCCTGCCCGATACATCCAGCGCTCCTACTTACCAGATGGCCGGCTACTGACCAGGAAACCTCACAGATTAGTAAGTCCAAAATCTTCCAAAAAATTCCACTACCCGGTACTTTGAGCTCAAACTTTCGAGAGGCATCAAGACCCATGTGCAGTAAAGTGGATCGGCTTTACCTTCATCACTCCTGTAAAACCTTGGGTTGTTCTAAAACCCCCTCGACCCCCACAACCCATGATTTCCGTCGACCCACGACCCCTTCGACTTACGTTCAAGCCCCTTAAACACAGTCGCTCGACAAGATCAAGCCATGATGGAATGTAACTCCTACTTGCCCCTTTTCAAAATCTCCCAGATCAAAAAGGATTTCAATCTTGAAAATGATTCACTATCAATACGACTGTACAAGGTTCAATTTCACAATGCCCATGCCACATTGGCCTGATCCTGAACCAGATAATATCCCAAATTGGAACCACGACCCCCCCCCCCCCCCCCCCACCAACTCCCCCCTCCCCGAACCCCCCTATTCCCCTTTATCGACATGCAGCACATGACGCGCACTGAGCCATTCAAAGTGGGACCAAATTCGAACTAGGGCTGTAAAGACTGTTCCGATTTGGGACACCATCTGATTCTGGATCAGGGCAATGCGGCATGGGCATTGCCAAAAACATGCTGGAAACCCGGGAAATATAGTGATTGAATCATTAAAATGCACTATTCAGAGTTTATAAATTTGTTTTTTGTTAAGGGCAAAACCCATTCATTTTTAATTTTATTTAAATTGTGTATTATCTTGTTGTTATCCCCTTTGGCAGCATCACTGCTATTACCATGGAGAAGTCAGAGGCAAGAATGTATCAAGTGTTGCCCTGAGCACATGCAATGGTCTAAGGTAAGTTTGTCATCTTCAACCAGACAGTCCGTAGCGGTTAATTGCGGGTAACACCATGTGGAAAGAAATGTCTTCTTGGAAGAAGTGTGGTTCTGGAAGGAACCGGTGGGTTGAATGTAGTTGAGTTCTACACTCAACCATCCGGTTCTTTTCAGATTACATGATTACAAAACGCTTGCAGGTTAGCCTGTGACACCCCCCCCCCAAAAAAAAAAACCCCACATATTAACGCATGGGTATTAAGGTTGTTTTTTTCCTTCATTTTGTATGGTTCCATTCAAACATAATAAATATCCACTTCACTTTGCCAATCTTTGTCCTGGTAATTACACATTCTCCCTTAGTTTTGTTGAAAACCAGACACAGAATATCCTGTTCCAGTTTCTGTTCTTTGAAATGTATCAATGACCATTTAAACCTCATAGATTATCCAGAAATGGCAACCACATATTTGTCTTAGGAAATCCAAACTGAAACCACAGTCAGTAGTGTGTTTCCAGAATTGACCGCAAATGAAATGTGTTCAGGATTCTGCTGCCAACTCATTTGAATATTCAGTTTGAATTTCATGGCAGATTACAATGTATATTATTTCAAAGCTGTGAGCCAAATACGTACATGTATCCGTTAGTCCCTGTACCACCCAAAACTGCCTTGTCTGTTACTCCCTGTACCACCCAAAACTGCCCTGTCTGTTACTCCCTGTACCACCCAAAACTGCCCTGCCTGTTACTCCCTGTACCACCCAAAACTGCCCTGTCTGTTACTCCCTGTACCACCCACAACTGCCCTGTCCGTTACTCCCTGTACCACCCAAAACTGCCCTGTGTGTTACTCCCTGTACCACCCAAAACTGCCCTGTCTGTTACTCCCTGTACACCCAAAACTGCCCTGTGTGTTACTCCCTGTACCACTCAAAACTGCCCTGTGTGTTACTCCCTGCACTGCCCAAAACCACCATGCCTGTTACTCCTTGTACCGCCCAAAACCACCCAATATTCAACTCAAATAATTTGTATAAATCCCAAATCTCCATATATTAAGTTTGTTGGATAAAGTCATAACTCAGTATTTGAAAATCTTGATTCATCGCCTCAGACCTTCGGTCTCTATACATTGACTGCAACTTTTCTTCAGCTACCCCCCCCCCCACCCCCCCCCCCCCTTGAAAGTCTTTTTTGAAAGTCTTGGACTATTACACCCCAGCTGGAACCCCTCTGGTTAATCTGGGAGCTGCTGGTGTGCATTTCAGGCAAGCACCATTATAAGTCTGCTCACATTACGCGCAGAGTTTACACAGGCTTTAGGCCATTGGTCACTTACAGTCCCAGCAATCATCCTCCCAAATTGCAGAGTGATCAAAAATATTAACTGTGGCCCAAAGCAAGGCTCTGTGGTCAGAGATGGAAATAATGAATGGAAGCCCTGGGCTTGTGGACAAGGAAAGAGCTGTGTAGTGTACCGTAGCTGTAGTTATAAAGAGATAAAGTAGTTGAAGCCTATAGGGTAGCACTGAATGAGGATTTAAATTAGACTTACTGTGATTTTTTTGGTTAAAATTTCAAAAGATGTATGTACAGTATCATTTCTCCCAGGTTTGTTTGCTGTTCTTTTTTCATTGGACAACATGACGAATCCTGCGTAAAACATTTAAATGGTGGCTGATTAAGGGACAGATTCAGATTAATTGAAGATATAGAAGAGAAAAGGAGGCGTTGTACCGGTATCACTCATTTTTCTGTTGTCTAGTTTGCCTGTACATTTGTATTTTTATCGCCTGGATCTGCCAATGCATGCCTATCAATTAACTCATTTAAAAAAAAAAAGCTTGGTCTATATTCAACATGCAAGCACTTGAGTACATGGACTTTGTACACTGTATGAGGGGTGCAGCTGAGCAGTTTGAATTGGTGCACCCAATTGGTACCCAATCTGGTGGTTAATAAAATGTTGCCATCGTCCCTGTTTGAACTGCATGCACCGGTACATACACAATAGGACATTTGCATGATATGTACAGGTGCACGTATACCGGTAACAGGACAAAAGGAATTCCTGTCACGTAGTTGACTTTATAAACCAAGGTGAAAAGGTAGAGGTGAATGTACATGGTGTACACATATGTAAATATCTGGTCTAGTTAAATTTCCTGCATGGAGTTGAACCTAGACCAAGAGGCAGGCCACGAAAGACCTGGGATGAGACACTGGCAGAGACCTCAGACTGTCAAACCTCGCCATTGTGGATGTCAGAAATCTAGACTGCATGGAACAGGGCCGTTAAGGAAAGACAATGTCTCACCCCACAGCGTGGGAAAATGGACATTAAATGGAAATGATGAATGATGATGATTGCCAATGGTGTGCGTATAGACCCATTGCATTGCAAAAGGACAATTGTACAATTCTAAAAGTTGCCTTCTTTTATGATCAAGCACAGGTGCGTGTAGTGCACAGATTAGTTATGCATGCTGCCGGTACATAAAGAGTCAACCCACCTCCCACTCAACCCTTTCACTCCGACCACCCACATTCCAAAGCAAGAAAATCAATTTCAACTCCACCACTTGCATAATGCAAATGTACGTACAGTTCCTGTACATCGTAAATACAAGCTACATGTAAATCTCATAAACTCTGGTTTGCACTCACAGAAGTGTCAATATTAATTTGATTCACAAAAATGCAAATAAGCACATTAAAAAGCAAGGTCAATGTATTTCTGTTGGCTGCCTAGTTTAAGGGAAAGGCTTAAGTTTAGTAGTTATACTTATATATCCATCTAGCTAAATGAGTGTTACATCTGTGGCAGACTGGTATTCTAGAATTACACCCCATCAAATAGCTAGGCAACTTAAGTCAACCCAAATACATGCTTTCAATGTTTCATACAGGCTAACTTTATGTATTAATTTTCCATTTACACTAGAATCTTGAGTTATTCTGAATGACTGCAAAAGTTTATCTCTTGTGTGTAGTCACTCCTAATCGTTTCATGCTTTTAAGTTAAATTGTCTCGGAATAGTTTGGTATGGTATAACTTTGAAAAATCAGTCCAAGACAGAGTGTTACACCCTTTGAAGGCCCCATCTCATGATTCACCATTGATCGTGAGACTGTTTTGTTCTCCAATTTCAGCGGTCTCATCATCATCGACGGCAAAAGCCATTACGTGGAACCGCTGAGCGACTCACAGAGCAAGCATCTTGTCTATACACCCGACAATGTCAGGCGGAAAAAACAGAGATGGGGTAAGAAATGTCATCCAATATCCCTATCAAATATTCAATGTTCCATCACTTGGGCTGGAAAATTAGGAACACGTGTGGAGAGTCATGCACACAATAGATACAGCACTTCTGATATGAAGGTACAGTATAACGTAGATGTGCACACTTGTACAGTATGTGGGATTTTCAAGAGCTGGATTTATGTCGTCGGAATAATGAACAAAATAGAGAAAATCTTTTGAAATCACATGACCCTTTGAAATCTTATGACCATCTGGAATCACATGACCATTTGAGATCACATCACCGTATCAAATCACAAATCACACGATCATTTAAAAATCATGTTACAATGTGGAATCACATGACCATTGGAAATTACACTCAACCCTTAAATGTATGACTTAATTTGTTGTAACACAACATCTTCGTTAGCAATCACATGACCAAGTGAAAAAAGTGTCTTAGTCAGGCTTTTATGAAAAAAAAATCCTTTTTTTAACAATCAGACTTTTTATTACCCCAAAATGTCATTTCCAAAAAGAATGTGTGACTCATGCTCTTGTGGTTGAATGTGTTAGCCACTTCATTTATGTAGGGATATCCATTAATGCAGACATTTTTGCACCAGATGGTCAAATCATCATTGAATAGCATCATTGAACTTTTGCCCCACTACATGTATGCAAGCATTACAAACATGTACAACGTACAAGTAAGGCGTGTCCAAATAGGGCTTTCAGAGCTACAGCTACCATTATGGCTATTGTCAGCATGTTCCCACAAGGGTTGGTGACTTTTCTTATTCTTTTTAAAAATATATATATATATATATATTTAAATTTTATTTAAATCAGATTTGTTTTTATTTTTTTTTAACTTTCAAAATAGTGATATGTGTCTAAAAATGTGTCTAAATCTCCCCATGCACCCTTTTTACCCATCACTTATAGTAAGAGTTTACATGCTCCTATAATACCTATCCATAAATCTCAATAAATTGATAAATGCCTTTAAAAAGTATTGAATTAGTGATTAAAAAAAAATCAATTGATTTCATCTCTGCTTAGAAACGTAGTATTAAGCGCGGTATAAATGTTTGCTATTATTATTATTATTATTATTATTATTACAAGTACATGTAGTCTACCTCAATGGGTCAATGATACACTATTAACACCGAAAACACTTAAAAGGTGCATGGCTTGATTGATACAGCTGATATACGTTGCGTGTGGATATGAATGAAAAATGTGATTTATGGTACATGTACATGTACATGGTATACAAATAAAATATGAGTACATGGTCATGTTTATTTCATAAAAATGCTGAACTACCGTACATGTAATTACAAAACTGGCAGCACTGATCCTTGTGTAACTTACACATACATATACTGTAATGAATGACATCATTGAAATAAATGTTCAGGATGATAAATGATGAATGTTTGTCTCTGTTTATCCTCACAGAGTTTCAAACAAGCTGAATTTCATTTCAAAAGTTGAATTCTATTTTCTTTTACTCTTTTTTTTGCAAGTTTACGATACTGGTCTGTACGAAGAGCAAGGAGCAAACTACCATGAGGATTCCATGCACCAACGGATACGAACGAGACGAGATGTCTTTGAAGAAACCAAATATGTGGAGCTGTTCATCGTAGCTGATAACACAGAGGTATGCACTGAGACATTAAAATCCACTCTTCTGGGGCAAATTTTAAGGGGACTGCTCAACACAGAAATATTTTGCTAAGTGTAGAAGGGTCACCAGCTAAAATGTCATTCAATTTGTACTGTTTGTCGCTGGTTGTTGGCTGCCTTTTGCTCAGCACATAAATCGGCTAAGCAATATTTTCTGCTGTTTTGCAGCTTCATAAAATTTTGCTCTGGAGTTGGTAAGCAACCTTCTTATTTGCAAGCAACCTTATTATTTGCAGGCAACATAATTAATTAGGAATGCTTAATGAGGAAAACATTCCACGATGCAAAATACCTGCCATTGCAACATGGTAGCAGTTAATTTTTTTTTCTTTGCAAACTGGTCACATGACTGATAGTCTGTAGCCAATCAAAATTCCATGCTTATTTTATCACAAGGAAGTGAATGGAGCAATGGTCAAACAGTTGCTAAGTACATGTAACTCATCTGCAAAAGTTGTATTCTTCAAAGCACCCATGAAACAATATTTATTTTAATTCAATTCATAAAATACATGTTTGTGCACAATTTTACTTTATGTTTTAATACTTGTCTTGAAAGGTAAAAGGTTTTTCGGGGCCTTTGGGGTTTTCTACAAATGTCTTTATTCTTGTGAGAATCTGAGATGTTAGATGGCAGAAGCTTGAGTGTTACAGCTGCTACAGCATCAACAGTCACCAAAATGTTGGGGGGTTCCTGTTGTTTTTCCTGTTGTTAAAGTTTCGTTGTTGATTCAGTACATGACAGCTATTGAACCAACATTACGCACAATTGTTTGCAATGAGCTACAGTTCATTATGGGATTTATAATTTGTACAGAAAACTTCTTAACTGTCAAGTGTGCGCCTTAAGTGACATCCTAGCAACAGGGTCATCAGTTGTCAGTTGGAAAAAAATTACTTACAAATGTTAAACCAATACAATGTCAGTATGTTTCAGTGTAAAAGTCATGTAACGGACCCACAGCGATTACTTTTCTCAATGTGATCTAACTTTGAATTTGATTCTTATCTCTTCAAGATTATTTGGTCCCCATCAGTGATCACAAGCATGGCCTTGACTTTTTGATATGTAGAGACAGGATATGGAACAATTGTCTAGCCCTAGTTGTCATGCTTGATTGCCATAAGACATCAATTGTCTGGCCCTTTTAGCCTTCCCGTTTATCAGTCAGTGGGTAGACTATTTGACCTTTTTGCCTTGGTCATATTTTTTATATGTTCTATCAAAACCAGACTCCTTTTTGGGCAGCTGTTCAAATTTTTACATAAAAATGAGGGGGGGGGGGTTAAGGGAATGCACTCAGTATGGATCATGCTATAAATTTGGATCCACTTTTTTCCTGACCCTGTTATATCTGGCATTTACAATGTTATAATTATTGATGCACTCCTACCGGTACATGTAGTTCATCCTCAAAGAGTAACTACCTACCCAACATATAGTTGGGTAGGTACAGTGTAGTTACTACTAGAAAAATAGTTTGAATTCATTTGATACTTGAATGGTAAATTACAAAGTTCAGAGGTAGACAGGAAAAAAAATGTCACACTTTGGACCCTAAATTTATAGAATGGCCCATGTGCAAAAAGAAAATGTATTTTGCTGATTCAAGGGAACAACAATACAATAAATCTGAAACAGGTTCTAAAAAAATAACCTGTTAAAATTTCAGCTCAGCAGATACTGTATCAGACCTTTTGTGGAAAGTGTAAAGATACATCTTCAAAATTGTATTTTTGCATTTCTTAACTTGATAGTTGATACACCTCTGAAAAAAAAACATTGAGAGGTTAATACGGCATTAAATTATTGTTTTAGACATATTTAAGATCAAAAAGTTGTAAAAAGTGGAATTGGAAAGAAAATGTTTTGTTGGAAATCCCTTTCTTTTATGAGGAGTTGCTTGTGAATTTTTTCGTAAGTAAAAAAAAAAATACAAGACTGCCAAACATTTTGAGGGGCAGTTTACTGTTATTTGCCCTGATGCACAGAACCATATATTCCTTGTAGAATGGTATGTTCGTGTCACTTTTGTATGTTATTTTATCACATATTGTGCACAGTTCATAGAGCAAAACAGTGACAAAGAGCAAGTCTTTACAAGATGCAAGGAGATGGCCAATGCAATGGATATGGTGAGTAAACTAAAATAGAATGTCAAAGCCTAATGTGGTGTTAGTAACTTAAGTTTAATGAAAATCAAAAATCAGTTTTTTGGATTTGAAAATCTGATAACCAGGTGCATTTTGCAGTGAGGTTTACACAACCCTCAAGGTTTACTACATGTACTTGTCAAACAGTCAGACTTCTTTTACAGATTCTGTCTTGATTCTATCTTTTTTCCACAATTTTATTGTGCATACAAAATAGACTGTTGTAAGCCATGGCATCCAGACTGTTTCAGAGATTTTGTGGAAATGCTTTTGGCTTTTTTAAAATTTACAGAACAATGTATTTTCATACTGTAATTTAATACTGCTCATATTGAATAATTAACACCTCGTGTATGCTAAAAGGTAAGTTCAGAATCTATGCTCAGTTTGATAAATGTTAAGCAAACCTTTTATTTCCATTTACAGGCATCCTTGATTCTTTGTAAAATAAAACTGGAAGGCGGATCCCCTAAATACTTTGTCCCATTTTAAAATGTTTGGCTAATTGTTTGTTAAATGTCTTCACATGTAAACGTTACATCCTTATTAAAAATCAAAACCTTTTAAACATTTTTTTTATAAAGGTACTTAAAAAGTTTTGTTGAATTTGAAACAAATTCCTAGATTTATCGTCAGTTGAACATGCGCGTAGCCCTAATAGGGGTAGAGGTATGGGATGAAGGGGACCAGTTTGATGTGAGTACCAACCCAACCGTCACCATGCAGTCCTTCCATCGCTGGCGGAAAGAAACTCTCCTGCCAACCGTGTACAACGACAACGCCCAGTTTGTCACGTAAGAATTAGATCTCATTTTGCAATTTAATGTGAAAGATTGAAACCAGTGTTAGAGGGAAATACAGGTATGTTGAGTTGTGGTGTAGTCCTGACAAGTCAACACCAGTCAGTCACTTGTGTTGTAATGGAATCCATCACAACATTCACAAGTGATAGGGATAAACACTTACAAAGGAATGCCTTTGGGCAATTCCATGCGAGAGTTGACATGGCTAAAAAGTGGAAAAATTATGAAATCTTTAGAACTACAGGCATCACAACCTCAAATCATGGGCGGTGGAACAGGGGTGGCAATCTATTCTTCATATTGAAGAATAGACGATGATCACAAACCATACACCAAAATCACAGACCTACACAGAAAAGAATACTTAGAAGCACTTGATTTGATTGCCATCGAACTAAGGAGGCAGTTTCACCAGGAATCCTTTGCAACTATCATGGATCTTGAAGAGTTGCTTCTGAGTGCTGCCAATGCAAATTTCACTAGGATACCGAGGTCCAATTTCATGTTTTTGTTCATAAATTCGTCATTACTTTGCAGTAAGATTAACAAATTAAAATTGATGTACCAGAACCTGTTTTTAAAATTCACAGTGGCAAGTCGTTTGATGGTAGCACCGTTGGCATGGCATCGTTGTCCGTCATGTGTTCACCGGATCGTTCCGGTGGGGTGAATGAGGTTAGCAGGGCATTAACTTTTCAAATACCAATGAGGGTGTGACCAGGTCCCACTATGTGAGTCTTGTTGTCTACTGGGATGTAGTCCTTGTTTGTTTAATATGCACATGGCAGCGTAGGCAAAACCAAAAACCAAGGGTGTCATTTACCCCCTAGGGTATACAAATTGACTAGGTGCTTTATAATGACCCTTTTTCTAAAGTTGAAAAAATAAATTGACAGGAGTAGAGTTTGAACCTGTGACCTCTGGAATACCGTCTGGCGGTTCCCCATTTTGTCAAATTTCCCCAAGTAATACCATGGTATAACAATGTTCTTTGTTATCTTTTAAAGGATCATGGGATAAATGCGGCAGACGTAGCTTCCACTATGGCACACGAGATGGGCCATAACATGGGTTTCTCACACGACACTGAAGATAGAAACTGCCAATGTGATGCCCCAGAAAGCACTGGGTGTGTCATGGAACCCTCCAGCGGGTGAGTAACATGTGACACTCCTTTAACGCTCGAGGCCTTTTGACGCTGTTATCTCGCCTATCGTAATCAGCACTGGGTCCAATCAAACATGGGTAGGCAAGACATACCGTTCACACTTACGTCAGTGTATACACTGGTTGGCTGTACATTTTGATTTTGTACCGAGGTAGACCCTGTCAACCCTGGTCCAAACCTGGGTTGGATTTTACCTATGTAGAGTGCTACACTTGATTGGAAGCCGTGTTGGATTCTCGCTAGTGTGATAGGGCTTCCTAAAATCTCCCTGTTGGACCCGGGTTTGAGGGTGCATTGCCTTGAAAATGTATGTTTTTCCCCTAAAATTTGAGTGTCCAAAGATGAAATTTTTGTAATTATTACAGAAAGGGTGTGGCTGTCACAATGGTTAGAACTGTCGGTGTTGAAATATTAGAAGAGTTCAAGGAAAGTTGGAAAGTGGAAGTGAGGATTTCACGTCCTGCTTCCCCTGATGGCCAATCGATTAATAGGAAATAGGATGTGCATTACTTTGTTAGTGGTTAGAGCAGGAAACGCCAAGGCTACATAATCATCACATTATGATGATCACATTGTAATGTAAGCACATTTCTGTGCAATGCATATGAACTTTCTTTTTCATGTGCAACTAGGAAGTTGCCCCTTTTTGTGTTAAAATTTGCCGTTGTATATAAAACCAAAGCCAGGGAAAGAAGTCTTTCTGCAAATAGCAGGATTTCAGGCTATAAATTGAAGATTATTTATATGTGTTTCAGAATTTAATGGGCAGATTGCATTATTGTGTAGAGAACTCGAGGCACATTGTAAGCAAGTTGCTTTATTTCTGCTACAGAGCCTCATGCAGAAAAATTGCATGGACTTGCACCATGAAGACATATAAATGCCTATATTTTGGCACTTTGAAAACCCTTAAAAACCTTTTAAAGAAACCTATATTGATGTAGAGTGGCATTGTGAGGCCTGTGTTAGGCAGCTCGTGCAGGCAAGAAACAAAGTTACTTCAGGGTTTGTTATGTTTTTAATATTATGTACAGTTGTAAGCAACCTGACTGTTACAGCAACCTGATATCAGGTTCCAAAATTACCCGCAAAGCACACACATACTTTTGGGGATTGTGAGGACCACACACATGATGAACGATACTTATTGTGGGACCAAAGACGCTGTGAGGAACACATTCCCTGTCATCAAATGGATCTTTGCCTTCACCTATTAAGACATGGCTCTCTGTTTTTTTCTTGCGCTCTCATCAGTGCTATCCCACCCACCATCTTCTCCTCCTGTTCCCGTGCCGACCTGGCGGCATCTCTACTCAAGGGTCTAGGGGCCTGTCTCTTCAACTACCCCAAGGCTATCTTCCAAGGACCGCACTGTGGGAATGGCTTCCTGGAGAAAGGGGAAGAATGTGACTGTGGCACAGTGGAGGTAAGACTAGGACTGTTAGACTCTAAACATTGAAAAGGAATAGGGGGAGGGAGAATCTTCACCGTACAATTTTCTTGAGTACTGAGCCTTTATGAGTTTGTAGACTGATTTCTTTCTTGGAGACGATTTGACACATTTCTTAAAACCAGGAAACTGGCCAGTAAGTATATTGTACTGTATGTGTGCATGTACATGTGTAACTGTAGTGTGGCCCAGATTTCGGACGCATTTTTTTGTTCGACCTATTTTCCGTTTTTTTTTAATGATATGCCCGATTCATCTGTGGGCGTAATATTTGCTACACAATTTGTCACAAATTCTACAAATTATTAAGACAGGAGAAAATTGCATTTGAATTTGAGACTCCATACAACATCTGTATTTTAAGGGCTATTTCAGATGGAATGTACATGTAATACGCAGATACAATAACCCAATCAACAAAACAGTGTGATTTAACATTAGTAAATCTTGACAAATGCACTACATTAAGTCCACTTGTCATCGTGGGATAACTTGTAATATCCATTTACCTATTAGGAGTGTACAAATGAGTGCTGCTTGCCGGATAGGTGCATCTTGCACGAGAATGCGACCTGTGCAAATGGAGAGTGTTGCGAGGATTGTCAGCTGAAGGAGGCTGGCGTGCAATGCCGCGACGAAGTCAACCAGTGTGATCTGCCAGAGTACTGCACAGGACTGGATAATGAGGTAGCGTCAGTTTAACTCTTTTGCCAAAAAATCATAGACCCTTTGCATAAAGCACCCTTACTGGGGACATGTTTGTCATTTCAATTACACTAAATGACAATGACAGTGGCAATAAAAGTGACGTATTTAGTGGCCTTGAAAGTACAAAGTTTCCACTCATGCGTAACACAGAATACAGAAACCTATCAGTGAGAGCACTTGTACAAACAGGCCCGTAAAAACATTCCAAAGACCATCTCAGCTCCCTAGGGAGTATACTGCTAAGTTCTGCCATTTCAGCGCAAGCGGCTATTGCAAAACAATAGCTAAGTACATCAGTTGGGAGAGCATGTGTACAGTTTTCTGGAGGGTACAGGTTCAAGTTCACTGTATTCAATTTCTGTGGTTCAAAATTAGATTGATCAAAAGCGTCCCTGTCAATTACCCAATGTGATTTTTGTTTTCTGCAAGACAAGCCCTCTTGCCAGTCTCTGACTGACTGAATCACTGACTCACTGAGTCTGAATAAGGTCCTAAAGCTGTTTAGATGTCAAACTTTCAGGTCCAGCTCCAACTACGCAAGCCTACTCTCGTCATTCTATAAAATTTAGGCTCCAAATTGTGACATTTTCCTGTCCCTGTTACCTTTGAACTTTGTAATTTAGTATCAATATGAACTACATGTATTTCAAACAATTTTTTTTTTGGGGGGGTAGGTAGTTTGCTATTTGTTAATCACTCTTGGAGGACGTCTGCATTAAGGAGTGCATCAGAATTATAAAATCATAGATGTTAGATGTAACAGGAACAGGAAAAAAGTGGACCCTAAATTTATAGATGTATGTTCAAATACTGTGACGGTTGAGCAGAACTTGTGAAAGGACTCAATAAATTGGAAGAGTGCTGTCAAAACTCTGCAGTGTCAAAACTGAAGAAGAATTGAAAGACTAGAAACAAATCTGTCATTTTGGTTGTTTGTTTTTGTTGCAGTGTCCGGGCAATGTTTATCGGCAGAACGGCGAGGATTGCGCCAACATGGATAGTGAAGCCATCTGCTACAACGGCCAATGTGTGACATACGATGATCAGTGCAAGGCATTGTGGGGAGAAGGTAAGAAACAACGGTGTTTTGGAAACTCCGAACCCATCTCCAGCTTCGATTCCATCTCAGACTTTATAATCATGTAAAAGCAAGTCAGCAATTTTGTTAAAAAACTTTGTATGACAAACTGCTATGGTTTTCTGTGTTTATATTGTGTAGATCGTTTGCACCTAGGCCATATTTGAGGTTTGTGCTTGTTCAATACGGACATGCATGAGTAGATCTCTTGTGCATTCATGGTGGATGAATTAACGTAAAACACCTCCAAGATGGCAGCCAAATGCAATCAATCTATAGCAAGAATACATTTTTGTATTGTATAAATCTGTGACATTTGGTTTTGTTTAAACAAAATTGCCTCGTATTTTTTTATTTAAATCAAAGAAAGTCACTCAATGGAAGCCTTATATCCAAGCTCAATGGAAATACTCATGTTAAATGATTTTATGATCCTGTGATTAGTGTTATCTATTTTGCTGTTTGACTGTCTCTTGCCTTTACATTTTTTTTAAATAGGGGCCAGAAATGGGCATGAGCTGTGTTACGTTTTCAACGAGCAAGGGACTAACCATGGTAATTGTGGAATGGATGAGACGGACACATTCCTGCCTTGTACGCGCAGAAATTTAAAATGCGGCAAGTTGATGTGTGAGGGCGGTGCAGACTTCCCTATCATTGGGTCGTTGGCACGAGCCAGCGTTGGTTACCGCTACGACTCGCAAGGCGTGCGACATTCTTGTAAATCAGCCGGCATTGACCTCGGGCAGGACATCCCAGACCCTGGATACGTCGGGGACGGCTCGCTGTGTGGCACCACTAAAACCCAGGTTTGGAATCGTTGTTTTTATTGTCATTTGTGACTCTTTTGAGCAGTCAGTCACAGAGGAGTTTTTAAATATTAAAGTACACTGTATATATCTTTCTCTTTGCAATGACAATTTTATTTTTCCACGGTGAAACTTATGCCTATTTGAAGTTTGTGATGTCGCAATGATGAAAACAGAAATTTCCTTTTAAAAGTTTGTTTTATGCATTTCCTGAACTGGTACATGCCTATAAATCATGAACAAAATCAGCTATGTAGAGAAAATTGTGGTCTTAAACTCTAACCATCTATTTTAGCTGTAGTACATGTAAATATAGGATCACAAAATTGAAGAAAAAAATTGAAAAAGAAATCTTCCCTACATAATTTTTGGTCATTCTTCATTTCAGGCTCTGCTGAGAAGTGTCAGGTTTTGACAGAACACTTCACATTTGCGATGCATTCTAAGACAATCTGTGAATGGAATGCATTTTGGGGTAATGGGAATTTTTGAATGATTGTTTTTCTTAAATGGAATACTGAAATATTGTTGTTGTTTTTTTCTTCTTTTAGTTTTGTGTTGAGGCAAAATGTGTGAATAAATCTGATTTAAACATCAGAGACTGCCCCTACAGTTGCCATAATCACGGGGTAAGTAAAATATTTTTGGATTTGGTTTCTCCCCACCCGGAGTTTATGTTTGTGTCTTCCCGTTGTGAATATATCCTTTTTCATTTGTAACCTTCCTCATATTGAAGAAATACCAGAACTCTTGTGACGTACGGCTTGTCAGCAGAGTAAATGCGGGCATGTGTAGTTTCCCTGTCTGTCTGTCTGTCTGTCAGTACGACTTTGGAACTCTAGTCTGATATGCTCTCAGAGTGACATGTATGGCAGCTTTGTTATTCTAGTTATTCATTAGATGGAATTTGCATTCGGTCGATGAACTGGCTTTTGCCCTTCACGACATATTTTGTGTATAAACCCTTATACTGAGTGTTGTCCTAAGTAATTGTGAGAAAAACAATTTAAAAACAACTCTGGTGGGACATGAACCCACGACCTCCTACTAACTACTACAGACTTATTACAACTCGACCACCAAGCTTCCCAGAGTTAAGCTGGTTCAAATCTGATATAGCAGGGGGTACCGCAACCAAAGTATTCATAAGATGGAATTTACACCTGGGTGATACAAATTCAATAATGGGTTTTGCTCTTCACAGACATAATTTTGTTTATTTATAAACACTGTATACTCTGTATTTTCCTGAAAGATGGTGAGAAAAAATTCACAAACGTTTCCCCCCTTCCCTGACTGCAGGTATGTAACAGTAACAATCACTGCCATTGTGATCCTGAGTGGGCCCCTCCGCTATGCAAGAACGCAGGCTATGGGGGCAGTATCGACAGTGGGCCGGCAAGACCACAGGGTGGAGGTGAGTCCAAACAACCTCATTACTCATGGTTGATCTCTCACAAGCAGACGGAACTGAGGAAAGGGGGGAGAGGGTGGCTCAAATATGAGTTACTGGTAGAGTCTTCAATTATACTTGAACACTCCGTCACAAAAATATAAATTTTAAAAGTGAGGATTTTTTTTTCGTACGATTTAATTGTAAGTAATACTGAGAAAATGTGTACCCTTTTAGCCTTTTTTTTAAATTATGAATTTAGTTTGATTTCTATGGTTTTCTTAACTATCACATTACAACACAAACAAGGGGGTTTGCATTTGAACTGTTATGATTTTTTTGGCAAAACGTGTCACATACAAATGTACATGCGTATTTCTAAATAATTAAATAAACTACAACTTTCAAATGAGTTGAAATTAGGCGGCTGACATGGCTTCTTGATCACCAGCTTCTACCAAAGTGCAGCCTTGGTCGCTCTGTGTTGGGGTAACTTTTCACGAGGCCGACTTTTGTACAGCTGCTTTCAAACAACCTTGAGACATAGTTTGGCATGATTTGTCCATGATATTGAGTGAATGGATGAGTGTACCCACGGACAAGCACAGTTTATGCCTGTAACAATGTGGCAACGTATTTGAAGTAATGACTGCCACAAGGTTGCAGCCATGACTGTGGTGTCCCATGGGGCATGTGATCGCATGCTTAGCTTGGTCTGTGACATGTGGCTTGTACCGTAAGACATATCGCACAGGTTTCGATGAAGCATGATTTAAATTGATTTCTTTGCATTTTAGGCTAACAGAACCTCCCTTCGAGGCCCCAATCCCACCCACCCAACCTCTTAAAAATATAAAAAAATTCCTGTTTATGTTGTCGTTTTAAGGACTTGCACAAAAAGGCCTAAACGCCATTTAATGACAAATCACTCACAAAGTGGAATCAACAATATATTTGTCTTTTATGTGTCAAATGGCCTGTAATTCCAGAATGTGTGAATTGTTTTTTTTCTGATGATAACATTTTCCCTTTTTGGTTACATCAAGTGTCTGTTTTTAAGTTGTTTAATTATTGTGGTTTTTTTTTGTAAATCCCAAATCTCTTGACAATCTGGGCCATCCCTCATTGTACCGTATTGCCAATTTATGAGTTTAGCAATGCAAACAAGGATAACAATGAAACTCTTTTCCTGTTGAAAAAAATTGATTTTTCTATTTCTCCCTCTCTTGAAAAATCCTGCTGACAATGTTTAGGGGCAAAATGGCCCAATGATCAGCCTGGTAATGGTAAGTCATGGTACACACAATAAGCTGATCAAACCAAGTGGCGATATATTGTTTATATACCGTATTTCATATCTGTCCTCCACCCCTATTGTCTCTGCTTGTCTCACCCCCACTGTAACACCCTGCTTGTGCATCTATTGGGCATGAATATGAATCCTCCCCTCTTGTTTCCCACCCACCCTCGTCTCCACAGCTCCCACCAATCTCCCACTAACAACCTCTGACAAATCGGACAATTCGAACCCCGACCTCCGCGACAAAGGTATATGCACACGTACAGGCTTTGAGCAAAACATAATCACTTCAAAACTTTTGCAACAGGATTGGGCGACTCGGCTCCAAAAATGATTACCAGCGATTTCAAACTCCATGTTGGACTTGTGACTACACTACTTTTGAAAAATGAGTTCAGTTGTAGCTGGTTCTTGTTCTTGAGTTCGATTTCGGGCAGGTCCTGACAATTCTGAAGAGACAGTCTGACAATAGATGGGTCCATTAGGCACCACACTACACGTTACAGATGCACACATCATTTTTAGGTGCACTCATGTCATACTTTAGTCAGACATTAATCATGGCTGTGATTGGTATCAAGGGTGGCAGTGCTTAATGGATTTGTCTATTCTGGATAGAAGTGAAATCTATATGGATCTGCAGTGCATTACATAGCTGTATTCTTTGTCAAAACTGTATGTTTGGAACAAATTTAGGAGTTCCAATAAAATCACGTTTCAAAGAGCGATAATGCATCTTATTATAAGTTGTAATAGCAATTCACTTCTACAGAACAGAATTGTGACTTCATCTTTTCCAAAAGTGGAGTCGCCCAATCCTAGTTTAACCACTCATCTCATCGTTGTAGATGCATAGAATGTGATTACCCGACCATCAATTGTAGAAGGGTAGAAACATCACCTCATATGGAAGCAAGTACACTAACCCATTGTCATGTAAACCTAGCATGCACACACACTCATCATCCTACCGTAGTTCCAGTTTGGACACTTGGTTTCAAACCTAATCATCTGTTTCTTGCACTAGAGGGATGTTAATCGTTGCATGAAAATCTCTGCATGCAAGCCCAATAGAAGTCTTAAAGTATAAAAAAAGTATTAAACAGTTAAAAGAAATTGATTTTAAAAAAGCTGAAACTTTTCCATGAGATTTCTGTAACTTGCAGATTGTTTGTCCCATTACTTTGGAACTTTTTTGGGGGTATCAGAACGGACAATTTGATTCAGGTCTAGAAAGTATCTTGGGGAAATTACAGGAGCATTTGTGAGGAAACCTAGGCAAACATTTTGGATGCTGTCGATGGCTCGTAGCTCAAACCATCAAACTGGATTATTGCATGGTATTCTGGAGGCTAAACAGACAGATACAGAAATGTTTGTCTGTAGACCATATGCTCATTTCCAGACTTGACTTGAGCCCCTATGTGCAGCGTAGACATGATCCTAGAATTCAGCATGCATTTTTCAATGCATTAGAATCTTTGGAAACACCAATGCCGGAAAGGAGTCTAAAAACCATGCTGGAGTTTTTTATCAAGTCTGGGCTGGAGCTTGGGGTTATGTTCAGTCCGTAATTGTCTTTTTTCTCTTTAGTTTCTGACTCAAGTGATATATATTCCAGTCTCAGTTTGAGAGTTTGGTCATTCTATAAATCTGACATCTACGGTATGATTTTATAATTCTGATGCACTCCTTAATGCAATCATCCTCCAAGAGTGATTATGAATAGCAAATGACCAACCCAACAAATAAAAAGAAACATTTTAAAGTCATTCTTAATTATTAATTGAATGGCAAATTACAAAAGAACCTAGGTAACAGGGACAGGAAAAATGTCACACTTTGGATCCAAAATTTATAGATTGACCAGTTGCATTTTCACATCAGAGCATAGATCTTTTAAGAACAGAGTTACCTGGGATAGCAATAATCCCAAAGGAGCAAAGCCCGAGTTCGTTTTCATATACAAACCTCATGTGATTAAAAAAGTGTAAATCCAACAAAAGAAACAAAAGATTGAGGGAAACAGTATGCATCCTGGGTAGTAAAAGTAAAACTCGAGTGTGCGTACTTGGTTCAGTGCGTTTCTGCTATACTGTGGTGGACTGTAGTAACATGTACATGTAGTGTCTGTTTGTTTGAATTAGCAATTGGGATAAGAGAGATGGTTTGGTGTCATTTTTTTATGCTCCAAGTTTTCTAGCCTTCAAGGTTGTAGTTGTTATTGTGTATGTTACTGTGTTTGTTACAGTACTGTACATGAAATATATGTTGCTGCTGCATATAGAACAACCTGGGTATGTGATCAATGTACGTTTACGAGGCCCCCTTCAATGGAGAAACCATTGTGCATGCTATTGTACAAAGAATGCCCCGTGAGGGATTATCTGAACAATAGCTAGCACAATGCTTTTGCCATTGAAGGGGGCCTGCTAGTGTGCCCAGATTGGTCTATCATGACTAATCCAATTATCCAAAGATGCTATGACTGTACACTCACTAGGCCCCCTTCAATGGCGAAAGCATTGTGCAAGCTATTGTTCAGATAGTCCGTCATGGGACATTCTTTGTACAATAGCTGGCAAAATGCCAACCAAAAAAGTAACTGTTGCTTTTTCTTCCATTTATTTCTCTAGATTAAATTCCATCTTGATTCAGTTTTTCTGTTGTTTGTTTTATTATTCAAATAATATGTATTTTTGTGGAGAGTGAAAGTTTTCAACTTGTGAATTAGTTCTTGTGTAAGCAATTAGCCTTTCATATTCTTTCATCTGTTGAGTTTTTGTTGGTTTTGTTTTGGACATGTTCTGTTGCTGTGAATTTTGGGAAATATATCTTTCAAACAATTGTTAACAAGTTACCACACAAACAAAAATGTATTTGGAGATCTCATAAATAACTTGTCATTATTCACACACACAATTTTCCAACTGAAGTATATAAACACCTTTCCACAAAGTGTTAAAATGTTGATTAGTTTTCGTAATTTACAGCCAAAAAAAAGCCTCTTCCTGGTAAACTCTTGGTCAAGTTCTATTTTGTGGCTCAATTTCAAGGCAATGCTAAACACATGATTTTGTGGTAACAGAGCCATTCTGTTTCATGAACTTTAAGCAGTAAGCACAGCAGCTAAGAGGAAAACCTAAGAGGAAAACACTTGCTTAAATCAGTGACGTAACAAAATCTCCACAAGTCCACGACCATTGGAGCACATCTCTGCCATTAAATTGTGCTTAAGGTTAGCACAATTGTCTGGTACAATAAGCACAACTGTTTTGCTAACTGTTAAGCAGCGCCATGAAATTGATTCTTTCCAATAAAATTTACACAGATGTTTCAACAATATAGTGATGGCACACTTGAATGTAGTTTTGCCATTTTGTACTCTGCAGAGGTTGAAGCGCACAACAGCACGCTGGTGGCGCTGCTCGTGGTATTTCTGGTCGTGGTCCCGGTGATTGTCATTGGCGGAATCGCGGCGTATGTCAAACGAAGGCAGCTTCAACAAATACTGTGCAAGAAAAGGTATGTATACAGCCGTCTTGTTCTTGTCAAGTGCCATGGTCCGATAGTTATGGTGTCTGCCTCA